TCATAACAGAAACTCACGTTCTGGTTTCATTGTGATGCTGGATCGTTTTTAGACAGACGCATTACTCCACGTTGCTTTTTAATTGTATCTACTGGTTAGAAATCGTACATAAATATTCTCTTTTTTTTTTGTAGCCGCGAGAGACGCGCTCCTCACTGCAGGCGGTATGGAGCCCGTTGTTTTTCTTCCTGGAATTGTTGTTCTAGAAAGTGTATGTACGGATATTGCAAGTAGCGAATAACTAACGGGATTTGGATATGAAGAAATGAATGAATATTTGAACAGCATATTTTTGCATTATAACAAGAATGTATTTGATTAAATAACATTAATAGTATTACACAAGGTTAATTTTTCATTGAAAGTTTTGCCAGAATTTTTTGAAAGAAATACAAAAATGTGGAAAAAATGAACATCCCGCTGCAAATGTTTGCACCTGTCCTAAGTCAGGAATCTGATGTACAGTAGTTGTCGTCTGTTTTTGTAGTTCATACGTGTTTTTCGTTTCTCGTTTTTATATAGATTAGACCGTTGGTTTTCCCGTTTGAATGGTTTTACACTAGTAATTTTTGGGGCCCTTTATAGCTTGCTGTTCGGTGTGAGCCAATGCTTCGTGTTGAAGGCCGTACCTTAACCTATAATGGTTTACTTTTATAAACTGTTACTTGGATGGAGAGTTGTCTCATTGGCACTCATACCACATCTTCCTATATCTATCTTTGTCTTTATGTTATCTTCAATCATCGAAATAAACAGTTGGTGCGTAAAAACACACAAGAAGATTACAGTTTGAACAGTAACACAACCATTTGACGCTGTTAAAACGTGCTTTCAGCACTTTAACTTTATGGCAACCTTACTTAAATTGTCCGTTTACAAATTTAAAAATCATTTAGAAACTAAGGTTTCAAAATGGATTTGTTTATGTCCTTTTTGGTCAAATAGCTTTTCAACTATTTCAGTTCTTAATTATTCATTGGCTTTCAAATATTCGGCTTTGAGCGTTCCCAAATGAGGGTAACTCCAGAAAAGTGCTTCGGATGCGCGCGCACGATGATAAAATTTATAAAGTGGTTTTTTCATTCTAACATATTACACTGGTCTGTAACATACAACAAATTTTACAACAAATCAGTTCAACAGATTTCCTTGTACTTGGTCCCATAGAAATTTCAAAAAAGAACATCGCCTTTATAAATTCTGTGAAAGTTTGTTTGATAAAAATACACGGTATAATGTAGCTTTTTTTTGTAAGTGAAACTGAATGATATAAAAGTATAAGGAGATGTGGTATGATTAACAATCACAATCACCCATCAGAGACCAAAGCATCAAGATGATAACAAGGTCGAATTGGGACCGTCAACTCAACAATGACTGTATATTTAGCAGTATATATATATATATATATATATATATATATATCTATGTATCTGATGTTACGACGTACAAATACAAATTAGAATTCTTTTTTTTTATATATATATATATACTTATACCAAATAATGGATGGTTCTATGCTATAAAAAATATGAAGTTATATATACACAGTGTAGTTATTATTTCTCTAATTATTTATTCTTGATAAGTCCATTAAATCAACACCTCTGATAGTGTAGTTTGTCTCTCGTGGGATTCGTTGCTGGGGACAAACAAATGCCCGGCGTCCGATCGTCTGTTTGTCCGTCCGTCCGGGATTGAAAGCGCTCTCATCTGAAAATCCTTGCTGGATTTTTAAGGGATGTATATCATAAGGTTGATATCAGCCATGACTCGGACATTCGAATATCATTGAAGACAAACTTTTTTAAAAAGAGTAATGCATCTCGGAAACATCAGTTATATTAGAAATTGCATTTTTGCCCTATCACACCCACATTCAATCTTGTAGGTTTTAATGAAAATTCATATCATAGGTTGATATCAGCAATATCTTGGTGAGTTAAAAGAATAGTGCTGATCTGTTTCTTTTACATGAGTAATGTCTCTGTGAAATGTAATTGATATTGAACATTGCATTGTGAGCATTCTCAAACCTACATTTCTTATGAATTTTTATGAATTTTATATCAGTGGCTGATATCAGAAAGGTTTTGTAAGAGTGCCGACAAACAATTTTTACAGGTGTCATGCCCCATGGAAATATAAATATATGGAAAATAACATTTTTTAGCGATCTAATGCCTACATTTCTTGTAAGATATTTAATAAATTGTTTTAAATTTTTTATTAGTTAGTGCCCTTAGGCAGATAAAATATATGCACCGAGGGGTACATTGGAACTCTGTTCTTTCATATATATTAAGAGAACACCTTTTATTATATTCGTGTTTTTCTGTAATAGAGAACAGTTTATGGGGGACACAAAGCTATAACTCTCTGCGTACACTCCGACATAGATAAACTGAAGATGATACAGTACCACACTCTTTAAAAATATTGTGTTATTTATTTATTAGTATTTCTGAGACATAATATATTGAAATTTTGTTAGGATACTATACCCAAGTATTTCACCCAGTTTGCATTATAACGTATGCCTACCATTAATTTATTATCAACGGATCCAGCCATTTTTAAAAGGGGTTCCAATCCAGGAGAAAGGGGGGTTCCAAATACATGTCCCCATTCAAATGCATTGATCGTCAAAAAATGGGGTTCCAACCCCCGGAACACCCCCCCCCCCCCTTGGATCCGCCACTGATCAGTCTTGAACATGATCGATACACGTGTTATAGCCGAAGATTCTCAGTAAGTATAAAATCCATCCGAAGTTATATTAGTTTGTATGCATAGAGCAGGAGGGGCTTATCCTGTCAACGTACCCGTTCTCGCTCCATTTCGAGTACATCTCGCGGATTCTATCCAGGATTTTGAAAAAAGGGGGAGGGGCAAACTAGGCAACTTTTGTGGTTGACATGTAAAATTACTATGCTATAATCATATATGTAGCTCCATATGGGGGCTCCCTCTGCCCATCCGCCTCTGCATCTTATTCCCTGTTTTTCAAGGTGTGTTGATTTCTGAGGTATTACTATACATCAGGTTGATTTGTATCCGGCTTCTAAATCGAATTATGAATTTGAATAACGTTATTAAAACTATTGTATAATGATTTAAAATGTTTTTAATTCAATAGAAAGTTGGATAACTTTTGTCCTATTATATTGACAGACAATTCTTATATTATACTCCCCCCCCTCCCCTCGCCTTCAGAAGCTGTTGAGGTTTTGCAATTTGAACAAGAAGAATCTATTAAGATTAATAGTATTTGTTTTATTCTATTTCATAATGATAATGTTGATATGCCTTACACTAAGTTATACAACAGATTTATTATTATTAGTTGATTACTGGTACCTACATCATAATTTTAATCAACGGTTCAGATGAATACATAAATGTTCTCAAATACATTTACCATGCACGATTTCAAATTGAATGACTCCATCCTTTCAGTGAACTTCCCAGATAGTAAATTCTTTACGAATAAAAGGAGATGGATATGGGGTATACTTTAATGACACAGCAAGTCAACAATACAGCTGTTAATCCCAAGAAACTTCGACAACTGACGTACAGAATCAAACAAATTCCGGATCTCAGCTACCGCTTTACAAGTGGACGCAACAACAAGATTCAAAACGTGCGCTCTGCAATGATGATAATATGCTCTTGGTTGGTTTTGCTGTATGCGGGTTTTAATACTAGAAACATTATCAGACATCACACTTGCACCATTTATTGATAAACTAGGAAATAAACACATGCTGCATGTTGGTTGTGTTTCGCCCTGATATTTCTTGGAAGGTCTTCAAATGCTTACATGGTTTTGAACTTTTTCCCATTGTGAAAGTGACAACCGGTGAAGTACTAACGGAAACATTTACGTTTTTCTGAAGACTTCATAATAGATGAAAGCAGTATTGGTTGAAATTTTTATACAGAAACTGGCAAATGTATGAACTAACCAACATACACTATATAGTATATATGTCGCTGGAAATCAATGACTCCTTCAAATATTTAAAATTCCTTGCTATTGAAAACTATTAATTTGAAATAGCTAGAATACAACTTGAGAACAACATACAAATTATTTTCTGTGCATGTTGATTAATGTATATTTTAATTTAATTTGTATCAAAGTCAAGGAAACTCTGTGTACTAATTGAAGCACTACCCGTTAGTATAATAGTCCCAGACGTAGGGAAAAATGTCAACACACAATGGTGTTTCAATTTTAGACGTTACCGGTGATATACTGAGGGTTTGAATGGGGGTCTTCAAATATTTATTTTTAATTATTTTTGTCCATAATTTGATTTTCCTTTCTTTAATATTTAAGCATATATTCTGTTAAGTTTAAAATAATTTCACAGCATTTTTTTTGTATTCTGTAAACCTTACCCAGACCCTCGTCAGTAGTATACTAGAAATTATCCTCACACAATTAATCTTTAGTTACTTTGAATTGTCAAGTGATTCGATCGGGGAAGGCTCGTGCGTTGGATCATTATCTACCTTGCTTGGGTAGGATTAAAATTTTTCCTCTTCAATTGTGTCTATTTCCGAAGTTTGACTCCGACATATTTGATTATATTTAGATTACTGAAAACTACCGCAAAGGGGTGGGAATTTCCAATGAGGGGAGGTAAATGTTTCCATAAGTCTTGAACTCGCAAAGAGTATGAATCAACAACGGCAACAAGACGATACAAGTCGGTATATTAACGTTTAGTAACGTTTAGTAGCGAGTCTGTTGCATTTTGTGAAAATTTTTAAAAAGATTATAAAGAATAGTTTTAAATTTATTTTTAAATATTTTTTTACTTAACGAGGTTAGTTGCCTCGGTTGGCTTAAGGTTAGCTACGCCACTGTTATTTTTGTCTTTATAATATTGATAATAAATAAATCAACATTGACCAATTTAAAATTTCCCGCGCAAATATCTTCATGGGTCAACTTCCAGCATCTGTTTTACTTCCGGTTGCAGTGATTGGGGAAAACAAAATGTCGCTCGACAAACAAACTCCGGGACAAATACCTACTATTTTCTTTGTAGACGATCCAATATAGTGTTAAAATGGGAAAACTGAAATGTTTTGAAATCATACTTGCGGGAAACAAATCTGTTTTCCACCCAGGCGAAAAAGTATGCGGGAAAGTAGTCGTCGATCTGAAGGGCGACATGAAAATGAGATCTCTGCGCATTTTTATGCGAGGGGTTGCAAAGGTACACTGGACAGAATCAAGAAGTACAGGCAGTCGTCTTGGTTCTTACACTGAACATTATAATGCAGAAGTGGAATATTTCTTTAAAAGACAAGTTCTGTTCGGAGGAGGTAATTTTCTTGTCAGTGAACAGGTGAAACTATTTCTGATACAGGTCGTTTGTACCAGTGTAGATTGAGGCCTAAACAATAAACTTGTAAAGGCCATGCCAAACTGATGCCTTGTTAGTCAGATTCCCTGTGTAGTTTAAAGTCTGCAAGAAAATGACTTCTCTTAAAACATGTAAAACTCATATCCTATGCGTCAGCGAGTCAAATTATCTACTGCAAAACATGTCAATTAAGTTTGATGTAGACCTGTAATTTATTATGCTAGTTAGTAATTTGGTTCGTTGGTTAGATATACTGTTCACAGGTTTGTTCTACAAAATTCATAAACTTGTTTAATAAGACTACTTTCACTTTAATGCATTTTCCCGTACATTACAGGGGTAACAATTTTTATGCCACAGTAAGAGTCGTTCAATGACGTCATATATGCCAACACTAAGCTGACTCATAAAGCAGAGCTAGAAGTTGGTCTATAGCTGGTCTGGATTTGAAACATTTGTGTCAGTGCTTTCAAAAGTAGCCAGTAGTCGGCAGAATTCTGCTGTTTATGCAATGTAAAGGGCCTTCCTACTTTCACTTAATAAAAAAATTATTTCTGTACATTTTTTATGTGAGGAAATGTCTAATAATATCTTATTTACGCTATTTATAAAACGAATCAGAACTAGGAAGTAAATTGTTTATGTTTTGAACTTTTCCTACAAAACAAACATTAGATGTGTCAGTCATTCTGATTAGTAAATTACTAAATATAGATATTTTATCCAATCAGGTAAGGCTTTCCAGAGTACACGTATGTTTTCCAATACAAACTACCCAGGCTTTCACTAATAAAAGAATATGGTCGAGTTACAATAGGCCCAGGAAAAAATGAAACATGCTAGTTTGCTTGAACATATATTCTCAAAACATCTAAAAAGAGTAAAATACAACAAATTCGTTAATTAACTGTCATTGTCAATAAATGAAGTCATACGAAAAAACTTCTCATGGTCCTTAGAGCAACTTCAAGCATTATTTGTTGCCTAACATTTTACAACATAAATTCTTATTCTTTGTTATGTCATTATTGAATATGAATAAATAATAAAAATTATAAATGAAAGACTATAAGATTATCATAGGGTTCAATGTTTTACCAGAAATTTTGTTTACATATCAGAGAATTTCAGTGATTTTTTACTTGTATTGTAGATACATTTTTATACAACCGCAAAAATTAAAAAAGATTTTGGTCGTACAGAGTTCGCGAAAGCTTATTTCGACCCGTCGGTCATGGGACCGACAAAGCATGATTAATTGTCAGTCCTACACAATTTTAGCCAGTCCTACAAAATCTGTCAATTTTATCCTGAAATAAAATTAATAACATATTTAAAATAACTTCATTAATATTAGTTTGATTCTTCGCACCCACAGGCAAATTAACAATGAAGGACCAGTTCAGGTCTTCTGATTATTCTTATTTAAAGTCATCTTCACTATCCATTTCATCATCTGAATCGCTTTCTCGGCTGTTACAGTATTTGTTTGCTCCATTGAAGGGTTCAATCGCCGATTGTTTGCCAGGGATGGCTCTATGAACAAATTTAGAAGGCCATTGTAAATCGCCGCTTTGGTTTGTTTATAATAAATCCTTGAACCAGTAATGGAAATTGGCAGCGGGTACATTTGATAACCGATGTAAACACTTATTGGAAACACTTGCGGTACATCTAATAACCGATGTAAAAAAGTGCCGAAATATGCACTACAACGGCCGTTTTTACATCGGTCATCGGGACCGGCACTAGCCTTCAAAATACTGGTCCAAGCCTCATTTTGACCGATAGGACTGACAGGACCGACCATTTTCGCGAACTCTGGTCGTATATTGGTATCATGTCGTCGTCGTCAGCGTCGTCCGAAGACAGATGGTTTCCGGATAATAACTTTAGTATAAGTAAATAGAAATCAATAAAATTTTAACACAAGGTTTATAACCACTAAAGGAAGGTTGGGATTGATTTTGGGGGTTGTGGTCCCAACTGTTTAGGAATTAGGGGCCAAAAAAGGGGCCTTAATAAGCATTTTTGTAGTTTCCAGACAATAACTTGTGTTAAAGTGTATGAATCTCTCTGAAATTATACCACAAGCTTCCATACTACAAAGGGATGGTAAGGATTGACTTTGGGGGGTTATGGCTCAAACCATTTAGGAATTAGGGGCAAAAAAAGAGGAAAAACAAGGGTTTTTCTGGTTAAAGGACGATTGAGACAATTTAAAAGCAGTGTAAGGGAGGTAATTCAAATCAAAATCCAAATCAATTTAGATAACAATGTTTGATTACCTGCCTTACAATGCTTGTAAATTATGTATTAAGAAATGAAGATTGTCTGAGATACTGACCATATTCAAGAATTATTTTTTGGAATAAGGGAAAGGGGGAGGTGAAAAAAATTGGAGGTGGGCAATTTTTCTCATTTCAGATTTCAGAAATTATAAAAGAACATTTCTTCAAATATTTTTTTTTTTTTGGGGTTAATATTCAACAGCATAGTGTATTGCACAAACGCAAAAAAACGGGGTAAAATTTTTTTTTGGGGGGGTGGGGTGGGGGGGTTTCAATTCACATAGTGTATTGCACAAAAGCAAAAAATTGAATATAAATTCAAATCATATTACCAATTTGAAGTTCTTTGACTACAGTTATTCTGTGTCAGAAACCTATTATGTGTCAAAAATTTAATCATGTTAATTACAATCCAAATTCAGACCTATATCAAGCGTGAATATTGAGTCCATTTTGGCCCCAACTTTTCAGGGTTGGACATCTGCGGTCGTATCCAGCTGCGCTCAGCGAAGCTATTTATTGTAGTTTATTTCAGTTTATCACAAAATTATAGTTTTCATAGAAGTGAATGAAACCTACATATTTGTTAGGCATTGTTTACTGTAAACAATGCCTAACAAATATGTACATACAAATGTAGGTTTCATTACCTTTTATGAAAACTAAAATTTTGTGTTATTGTAAAAATGTCTGCCTGTGGTCTTGAACATTCAAGTCTAATGTTCAAAGGTCTGGATGGGGATGGGAGAGGGGTCCTTCATTTCTGTATTCGTTATATTTTTGGCCTTTATTCTCTATTCTTTATATTTTAGCTCCTCACCTGACATCAACTTCATTTCATGGATCAGTGATCAAGGTTAAAGTAACATGATTAGGTCCGTTTCTCAAAAAGTGTTCCAGCTAGGATTTCAAAAGGGCAGGGAGCCAATTACGAAAAGGGAACTTTAGCACGCTGATTGATAATTCAAAAAGGGCACGTCAAACATTGTCTTTTATTATGTAAATAGCAGGGGTTTCAGCTAAAGTTTGAGGGCTTTAGTCACTTTTACATGAGATGAAAATCAACCTTATTTTGAGTAACAGTAAGGGACCAAGGACGTACAATGTATATTACTAGCTATACATATGCCCAAGTCCTTCATGGAACAGGATCTTTGAAGGCTTTAGGCATGCTACAAATGTAGGCAGTTATTGCATGATTTTACTGATGTGATGCTTAAATATGAAGATTAGAAGAAGGATCCGGAAATATAGTTCACAATTTCACTTCAGTTATTTTCATTGGACACTCTGACAACAATAGTTGGATTCCTCTTTTTTAAAACCAGGAATCACAGCAGAAATGAAATTGTAACGACTATTTCACTGCATAATCATTATGCCTGTAAAAATTGTTTTAATCGATATTAGGAATTCATTTTTTATAAACTTCATGAACTTGGAACGATTAAAATGACAGTATATTTTAAATTTATCAAGACTAGATCATGTTTACTTTCGATTTTCAAACTAAATGAAAACGGGAAGTGACAAGAGGATAATAAATTCAGAATGAATCCCCATTCATCAACGGATTTATCGAAACATTTTGTTGAAAAGTTATTAATAATGTGACGAAACTATGTCAAACGAGCTGCAAATAGTGATCGTTTGGGAAATTTTGAAATTAGAATGTGAATTGTCCGCGGGAAAACAATTTTGTTCAATGGAGGAGACTACAAAAACATCTATAGATAAACTAACTGCAAATTGTGGTCTTTTGAGAAATATTGAAATTGAAATACCGCTTATTAATTAAAGGATTAGTGTCTTTTTTTATCATGATTAATGGCTGTCTCATGACCACTGCAGTTCTTTATTGTTTTAAGTGGATGTGTTTTTCACACTTGATTTCTTAAATGGAACAAAAACGTTTAATATTTCATTCCGTGAAAACCATTAGGAAGGAATATGATCTCATAGGGAAACGAAAGATAAAGCTAAATTATGCAATAAAACATATTTTGAAGTTTCCATTTTTATGGTTCACTGGTCAATGTTAAGTTTTTTGTGTTTTGGTCTGTTTTTCATATACTAATAGCAATAGGTCAGCTATATTTGGTGTATGGAATAATTGTAAGGTGCACATGTCTGTCTGGCAGGTATAATCTGACCTTAATCTCATTTTCATGGTTCATTGATCAATGTTAAATTTTTTGTGTTTTGGTCTGTTTTTCAATTAGCATACGCAATAGGTCATATTTGGTGTATTAAAAAATTATAAGGTGTATATTTCCGGATGACACGATTAACCTGACCTTGACCTCATTGCATAGATCTTTAAAAATGTTAAGTTTCTGTAATGCTTTTTAGTAAAACCTTTATCTTTAAGACTTTCAACATAAAATCAATGGTCAGTAAAGCAGGCGAGACATTTCAGCATGTGCACTCTTGTTTCTCTATTCTTTATTTTTTGGGTCCATTTTGCTCTATTCTTTATAGTTTTTGCCCATTATTCTCTATTCTGTAAACCCCCATTCACACCCTCATGTACCTATAAGGTAATCTTATGCCAGACTGAAAGCTGAAAAAAATCTAAAATTTCACATTAAAAATGAACACTTTGCACAACTTCAAAACAATGTCACTATAAAAAATTATCACAATTCACAGCAAAAATAAAATTGTAATTTGCATCTATCTTTTTCGGCGGAGTCAGGTGATGGTGATTGGTTAGGTCTTTTGTACTGTGACAGTGTCAAATACTTTCGATGATTTCTTTCATTCATAAAAAATGTTTTCTAGGCAGGCCTAAAATTGTAGGTTATTTTATGATATTATTTGTTCATGTACTAAGTACATCAACATTCATGACATTTAACAAAATAAAGTATGAAATTTGTCTTAATTGATTGTATTGAAATATTTACAGATGAAATAATATTTTGTAGAAGTGTCAGAAGGAAGAGATACATTGACAGAAGGAAGACATGAGTTCAGTTTCTCCTTTGATTTGCAGATGGGGTATGTTAAATCTGAATTTGGATAGTTTTAACTTTTATCATATATGCTTCTTGTACAGCTGGGTCAACTCTTGGAGCAATATTTGTTTTACATGCTAGAGTTTGTCAAACCATTTTTTTTCTGTAAGACAAAGGACAGACTCAAACTCAAAATAGAGGGACCTAAGGAAATCTGGTAGCAGGACTGACAGGTCCGACAGGTTTAGTGAAATTGGACATGCATATATTTGCAGTGTACTAATTTATCAATACGCATAGCTGTGTTATTTCAACATCTGATATTTACATACATGTATAACAATTATGGTTATGAAAATTTTAGTTGTTTCATAAACTAGGATACTGGTTATGTTATCTGAACCCATTACGGCTTTATGTCCAACGACGGACAAAGATGATAGGTAAGTAGCTATAGGTATTTGAATCCATGTGCAAACAACAGTGAACAATCAATGTTAACCTACATTTGATCCATTGCATGTACATGTACATTGTAATTTTATTGATGCATGTTTTGCTTCTGCCAACATAAGTCACAAAAAAATATAATCAAATGAATTTGCATAGATGATGTGCATATCTGTATACATATAAAATCTATAAAAATCCAAGAATTATGTATCATATTATTGGCTTTCATTTCATATTAAAATTATAATCTGACATGCGAATAAATGAAACAGAATTAACAATGCAATAAAAAATAAATTGCACTTTGGTTTTGCTAGTACACATGTAATATTTGTGGCTGGAATTTCAATAATTTATCCCTGTTATTGTCAATCGTTAAAAATTTACACCTTATTATGTATTAAATTCTTAACTTGCATGTACAATTGCAAATGTATGTAAAACTTGCATATTGGCCATACAGAAAAGACTTAATATATTTTATATTTTTATTTTAATAGGTAATATGCACATTTTGCACATGACCATATATGGTTTTCTGATTAGGAACTAATTAAAGACTAAGAATGTGTACTTTTTGTCTTTTGTTGAAAAATAAATGTGACGAATGATACACTTTCAGAGGTATTGCAACATCATTTGAGGGAAAACATGGCAGTATACGATATTGGCTAAAGGCTGAGATGGATAAACCCTGGTCATTCAACCATAAAACTAAGAAAGCTTTTACAGTCATTAGTCCAATAGACATAAACAAAGCAGAATATCAGGTTTGTATTTTGGTATATAATATACAGAGGATAAAAAATATAGTATGGGTGTGTGTTATTGACACTGATATTTTTTTGCTGTTCAAATTTAGGGACCTGAAATGGCTGAGGATGTGGTTCTTAGATAGTGCTGTTCACATAAGTTGAAGAAGTCTCCTGCATCAAGAAAGTTTTATGCACTTTTACAAAAGCAGTCAAGGGTCTAACTTAAACAAGTAATTACAGAAAATAACAGGCATACTGTTATTGTGGGAAATTCCTCCTTTCATGAATTGTGTTGAAATAACAAGTGTCTGTTATTGTACAAAAAAAAAACAATGTTTGAAACACACCTTTCAGTTATCCTAGGTTGGCAAAAAAGCGGTCAATACTAGTAGTGACCATGCTGGCAGTAAATACTGGCAAATACTGGTCGATTCAAATTTTGAGTGGACATAACTATAAAAACCACCCTACCTGGTCAATTACTGTTAATAGAGTTTTTAGGCTTCATTTTGGTGTTTAATGTCAAGGTGGTTGTACTATGTGTATGTAAAATTTATGCAACATTATATATTATTTTTAGTTTGAAACCATAAATTATAGAAGCCATAAGAGTAAAGGTCCTTCAAACTTTCCATTTCATGCATGAAGAAGATTTTTGTCTCACAGTTGAATTGACAGGAAATATTTTATTGTTAAAGGAAGTCTTCAAATATCACTTTTATTACTTTCAACCCATGTTTTGTCAATATTTATTGTGGCTGTTGTTTTATTTATTAAATTTTCACACCTAGCAATACCAGGTGATACGTCATAAGACACCTGTAACTTCGTTTACCTGTAATTTTATTTACCAGTTAAAATCAAACATTTGAAATAAAAAATATCTTGATTTATAAATGTTGAAATAATTAAAATGTCAATTTTTTATTTATCTAAAGTATGCAATATCATAACTTATAAGGAATAAATTAGTATTATAGAAGTGTTAAAAATGAATAAAACGTTTCAAACTTATTCATTTATTTAAAGCTGAAACATGCAAAAGATAAAAGTTTAAATATATCTTACTTTTTATCAAGTTTTTACTTCAATAAATAGTAGGGATGTCAACTTGGTGAAGATTTACTAATCGAGTACTCGTTGGATTTACCCAGGGATACTCGAGTACTCGATCGGAAAAACATCATCAAAATGGAAACAAAACTCTTTTTGGAGTGGCTTGTGTATACGCTGTTGTTTCCATTTTATATATATCTATGTTTTATATGTATGTACATAAGGTGAGACTTTAATAAAGTATTTGTCTTGTCTTGTCTTGGCTAGATAATATTCCGAGGAATTTTATACCATTAATAGCTCATTTACTACATGTACTAATTATGTAAACTGGCAATAATCTAGTCAATTAATTAATAAACATCTATAGAAAAATGATTACTCAAACAACAGTATTTGGGAATCGTAAAGAAACACATTTAATGATCAACAAAGGGGTGATGATTAGAACTTACTGATGCTTTTAACCATTTTCTGAGGGTCGACACAGGGTGCAACGAATTTGTTCTTATTTAGAAATATTATCTTGTTAACTTTTTCTGGGACGAATCGATTTCTCAACTTTGTTACGTAACTAAAAGTCCTGCTGATGAAAATATTTGCTCTGACGGTACAGAGGTAGTGGAATGACTTGAACACGATTAGTCAAAAGTGAAAGCCTTGGAAAAGGTGTTCTTGTTCATAGCCTACCTCTGTTTGGAGGAATTTTAAATGACAATTAAACGCAAACATTTGGAACGTATTTTGATTTTGATTTATTTCGATTAATATTTAATTTCCCGGGATGCGCTTTTAATAAAAATATTTATTTCTTTGAGAAGGCAACAACATTCTAACAAGAAACCAATTAGTCGAGTATCATTTTGGTATTCGATACTTGGTACTACCGAGCGATACTCGAGTACTCGTTGACATTCCTAATAAATAGTAAAAAACCACCATAAAATATTCAATCGACCAATATTTGCCAGTATTGACCACTTTGAGGAGTAATGTCTGGGGCGTTAAATACTGGGGTCGAAATTTAACAGTTATCACTGACCCCAACTTGTTTGTAAACATCTGTTCTGTGACTTATCCTAAATGTGCAGTAGATTTTATAACTGAAATTGAAGGATTAGTAAATGATAAACTTTACCAAAACACGGAACACTTGTAAATTAGTGATCAGCAGAAATCTTTAAAAAAAGAGACCATAAGATAACACCATGTTGGTTTTGTACAAAGTAATTGGTAAAGAATTTGCTTACCGGTATTTCCATGCTTGCAAAAACACTTCTGTCCTCAATAACACAATAAATCATTCTACCCAGTCTGATGTATGGAAACTGTTCATAATGGTTTTTGTTGAGCCTGCGACTTTTGTCGCAAAAGCGAGACATAGCGATCCTACATTCCGTGGGCGTCGTCATCGGCGGCGTCCACAAATATTCACTCTGTGGTTAAAGTTTTTGAAATTTTAATAACTTTCTTAAACTATCCTGCATTTCAACCAAACTTGGAAAGAAGCTTGTTTATGATCATAAGATAGTATCCAGAAGTAAATTTTGTAAAAAAAAAATCCTGTTTATCCGTATTTTACTCATAAATGGACTTAGTTTTTCTGCCAGTTAACATTACATTCACTCTGTGGTTAAAGTTTTTCAAATTTTAATAACTTTCTTAAACTATTCTGGATTTGTACCACACTTGGACAGAAGCTTGTTTATGATCAAAAGATAGTATCTAGAAGGAAATTTTGTAAAAATTTATTTCCTGTTTTTCCGTATATTACTTATAAATGGACTTAGTTTCATTCCAGTTAACATTACGTACAGTCTGCAGTTAAAGTTTTTAAAACATTTATTAGATTCATAAACCTTCTTGGATTTTTACCAAACTTGAACAGAACTTCTTACAATCAAAAGACAGTATCTAGAGAAAAATTTTTAATAATTTTTTCCACATTTTTGTTGAGCCTGCGACTAACAGCAAAAGTAGGCAAGACACTGGGCTTGCGGAACCCTTACTAATTTTTTTTTAATAACAAACATTGAATTGAAATTGAGGACCTCATTTCATTGTAATCAGTGTCTAATCTAAAAATTTCCAGAAATCCAACTGACCTGTGAAGGTATTTTGCAGAATAGTGTGCCTATTTGGTTTTGATTTTACAAATCCTTTACAGAACTTGAGGCCTTGAGTTTGATCTTATTTTCAAAGATTAGGCCTTTTGAGAGTAACTGGGAATAGTAGCTCTAATTGGTTTATGTATATGGCAGTATTAATAAATACAGTATAACCTGGACTTATTTCTAGAGAAACGCTTAATAAAGATCAATTAAGAATTAAGTCATATCAGTATAATTATACATTGTATATATCTCAAAATCCTAGCTTCATGTGATATAGTAGAGTAGTACTTAATTACTTGATTAATAATTCTTTCCTTCTTACACAATGATTAATGCCTCTTGAATTTATGTCTTAAGTAGTTTTCAGACATCAATACACAAACTGCAGAAAAACGCTGTCATTTCCTTTAGATCTCTATTCAATTAGCTGATAGTTTGAATGTTTTCCATTTGTTACTTGTAGCCTTGGACTTTTTATTTTGATATTTTAAAGTTACGTATATTTGAAGGTGCCATTGTTATATTACTGTTAATTCAGATATTATTGCAAATAATGTGACTGAGTGATAATCGCAATAATAAGAACTCCCATTCTGATATCTGATACATATAAGTGTATGCAGATTTACCTGAAATCACAATAATAAATCTCACATTTTTGCCAATTCCTCAAAAATCCCAATATAAATGCACGCAATGATTTCTGAATTTACAGTACTCTTATAATTATACTAATGTATTTTCAGCTATGTGTTGAAAGCAGTATAGAGAAGACTTTATGTTGCTGGATGTGTACCTCAGGACCAATTAGTATGACAGCAAGATCTGATCGCAGAGGTTATTGTCCTGGTAAGAATGAACAAGCTGAACAAGTCAGGAATATGACAGTTATTGTCCATTCGTTTGATGTGTTTTGTCATTTGATTTTGCCATGTGATTAGGGACTTTCCGATTGAATTTTCCTCAGAGTTCGGTATTTTTGTGATTTTACTTTTTTTTTATACCTGTTTTTTGCTCACCTGACTGTTTGGCCAATGTTAGCTACTCTTGTCATGTTGATATATTCTTTGTCTTTGTTATTTATTTTACTAAACAATCTTCTCAGAAACTACATGACCACAGTCAAATTTAGGGCTTTTAATATAAAAATTCTTTTGCTCCTGCAAATTAAGCAACTGTTCTATGGGAGGAATAAGTAATAAAAAACTAGTTAAACCCTGCCACGAGTGAATGAATCTGTCCCAAGCCAGTAACGTTGTCAGTCTTTGTCTGTCTTTGTTAATATTGAAGTGTTTTTTCTCCAAAAAAATAGTGTTGATGGCAGATCTTTGATGAGTAAACATATTATACCCCACATCTAGGAGTGAGGGCTATACTGCAAACAACTTGTCCGTCTGTTTGTCTAACAACTATTGTTGTCATCCATTTCTTTGGTACTTGTGAACAAAATGACTTCACAGTTTGTCAGTAGTTTAACAGTGATTAGTTGTTTCTTGTGGACACTTTTTTGGATCTGTCAGACACCTACTTCCTGTTTGCAGATAATTCAGTTTTTATGCCCATGCCATAGGCAATGGGGGCAATAAGTGTTACCCTTGACCTTCTGTCCTTTTGTCCGTCCCATATTCGTTTCCACACACTATCTTTAGTTTTTCTCATCCAAATTTTATAAAACTCATACACAATGCTCCGAAACAAAACATGCAGACAGAGCTTGAATTTGGGCAGTGAGTCACTTACCGTTCTAGAGTTATGCCCCTTTTTAACTTGGAAAATTGCAAAGGTTGAGCGGGGTCATTCACCTCTTCCGACACATTCTTCTTTTATTTCAATATATGTTGAATGAACTTAATATTTTTGTCACACATTTCTCCAACACTACTGAACAGAAGGACTTCATATCTGGTATGCAGCTTAACAGTGATAAGTTTTGATGTGCGAGGAACCTACTTTCTGTTTTCTGATATTTTAAATGACAAGTTAGTATCAAGTCATGTAACTACTTGTTTTTGTTAGGCCTGCATCATTTTGTCATGGAAGCGAGACATAGGGATTTTAAATTCAGTCATCATCGCTGATGTCAACATTAAGGTTCAGTGGTTGGTTAAAGTTTTGTTTTGTCATACCTTCATGGTATTGGATGAAACAACTAATGTACACCAAATTACTAATGATTCTACATTGAAAACAACTAATGTACACCAAATTGTGTTTAATAAAATGGAAAAGTAACTCATGCTGATGTTTAGTGATCTACAGTATAAAACAGGGTGATTAAAGTCAAGATGATAACAGTCTTATTTTAAACCCTGTCATATTTAACCTAAGGTTCATATTTCAGTGTGTGAATGACCCACATTCACCGGTTTTTATTTTCACCAAGATTCATTATATTAACCTAATACCCATGTATATATGGTAGATGCACCATTGTACTGTATATTCAGAAATTTGTGCATGTGCTCATAATTAAGATAGTTAAACAATGGACAGAAATGTTTTATTCAATATCGAGATTTCAGGAAATGTTGGATAGAAATATTACTATCAAATTTAGAATGCAAGTTTTTATTTTTTCTAAATCTTTCCAATTGCAATTTTCGCAATAATAAAAAAAATGGAAAAAATGTCTTACTTTACAGTATCCACATTATTCATATTTGTACAATATTTTCAGATCTTAAAGTTTAATGCATGATAATTTTATAAGATGAAATAAAAACTCTCACAACCCCTTTTCCTTGAAAATGCATTTATTTGTCAAATATTGTATTTTTCTGCCTGTAGATCTGAAATGAATTTGATCCTAAGATGATGGACTGTAATCTAATGAACATGTTATTACATTACAGGAGAGTCCATAGCTATCTCTGCCGAGTTTGAGAACCACTCATCACGGACAGTGATACCAATGGCTACTTTGTATCAAACACAAGCTTTCTTTGCCAATGGTAAATCAAGGGTCAGAAGGACAAAGTTCACAGTATTGACAGGTTAGATAAATTACATGAATATTCATACTGGATATAATAAGATGCATATACAGTCGAACCTCGTTGTGTCGAAGTCGAAGGGACCGGACCAAAGTATTCGACACATCCGAGGATCGACTCATCCGAGGTCGAGTGTTTCGTCATAAATTTGGAATGCATGAAATACGGTATGATTTGTGTAAACTAGATACAATGAACAGTGTGCTTTTTTTCGATATGACACTTTATGATTGTGTATTCAATCTCCATTTTTGGTCCTTCATAATAATTAAACACACAAGTACAGATACAAATCATGCACAAATAAAATCAACAGTCTACACAAATATTTACAAAGGTCAGTCACTATAAATTATGAAATCACTCGCGGAACGAATTAAGTTATGAACGGTCTCTGATGAGCCAGAGGTCGTCTGCTTTACATTAAATTATCATGAATTTATCATAATTGTTCTAATCCTTTTATTTATTGTAATTAATGAGTTTTAAATCTAAGGATTCATTAAATCTCTGCTTGGGTCATTTAAATTCGTTTTGTTTTTATCTGATGTGAAGAATGTTCAGCACACTAACATTCCGCCTGAACGATCAACCAAAGGTGTTAATTACCGGTCACCATAAACATGTCATTTTAACTGTTATACAAACAAGTATGTTAATCAGCTTTAATCTCTTTTGAAAATGATTAGGTTACATAAGAAATACATCCGATTTTTATCATTAGGTCTGCATCTTTTGAAAATTCTTACTTTCAAACTTCGAGTCATTGGGGTCAATTTACCTGAATTTTACATCGACGGGACTATAAAATTTACTTGACTAAACCGAGTATTCGAATCAACGAGTTCGACTCATCAGAGGTAATTATGCATTGATCAAACAGGAATTTTACTGGGACCGAGAAATTACTTCGACTCATCCTAGTTTTCGACACAACCGAGTTAGACACAACGAGGTTCGACTGTATATATATAGAAAATTAAACATAGAATATATTCTGTACTTTTGCAAACTTTTACAGATAGATAATGTACTCTTCAGTTGATAAATAATGCTAGAAGCTGGTAAGCATCTTTCTGGAGTTCTGTGCAAATTCAAAAAAAATTTGATGCTCTGTACTAAACCCAAAAAATTAAGTCTTTATATAGATATTTTTCCATTAACATGCAGTGTTCCAGCTAGGATTTCAAAAGGGCAGGGTGCCAATCCTGAAAAAGGGCATTTAACGCGTGATATGATAATATGAAAAGGGCATGTTTTGATAAAGATTATAATCAAACATTGTTTGTTCATTGAATCACTGGTTATAAATATACAAGAACAACATCATTAGCCCAGAGAAAAACTATCTTTCTACTTTTTAGGCTGAAAACTTATCAAGCAGCTTGTGACAAAAGTTTTAAATCATTGCTTGGCACAGTTAAGCTTTATATGCAGTATTTTTTGAAAAATGTCCTGCTTCATTCTGTTTCTATGGTCTGACACACTTTACAAGTTTCACCTTTCTACCTTTTCTGTGCTTAATGGCAATACAGCACAAAACAGCTGTAAATGCACAATGTTAGGATATAGTGAACAGTGAAAATTTGGATTGAAAATAAAAAATACAAGAAAAGATGACCAAGGCACCCTACCAACCCTGCTACTAAGACCCTCTTTAACTTTTCCCATAACTCAAAACACCTACACATATAAATTCTAAAGCCAGAAGTATGAAGACATATTTTATAATATCTTAGTAGGTTACTCAATGCTAGGAAAAAATAAGATTGAGTTATCTTTCTTTATTTGGGTGTGCTCCTTCTTTGGAGGATAATAAACAGTACGTAGAAGATGTAAATACGATCAACAATATGGCGGCCGATTTTGTTATTTTCGTATAAAAAATGAAGGCAGTCAATGAAAAATACGTCTTAATTTGCTATTTATTTCACGGAAAACAATAAGAGCAATGTTTTTAACGAGTTGATTATGATTTTCGACTTTCTGTCAATTACGTTTTCTCCATGAAACTACGGTAAACATTGCTAATTGTGCCCAAGTTGTATGAACATTTCTTCAAGTTCAAAGACAAATGCCGACTGACCGATTCTATTTGAATGAATTAATGTTGATGATCATTAAATGACCCATCCGATAAACGGATTTCCTATAACAACAGATTATGACACCTGTTGTAACCGTTGATTAGCTTGGGGTTGTAAACAAAGTCATATACTTGTTGCCAGGTAAATTTTCGTAGTTGGCTGATCATATCAATACGAACAAAATAATATACCAATCGATCTTCAAAAAAGGAAGGGCGCCCTGCAAACTGTAAAAAGGGCACAGGGCGGCACTCGGGAAAGGGCGGGCGGGCCGCCCTGTGAAAACGACCTAGCTGGAACACTGACATGCAATTTGAGCTGGAGTTGTTGCCCTTTGTTGCCATGTTGTAGCGCAATGTACACAAATTCCTACATAAATCAACCAAGTTCAACTTCTAATTTTACTGCTAGACTTTAAAAAAATTGTTTCATGTCTTTTTTATTTAAGTTTTAACCCTTCATCACTATGATATAGTAAGGACCTTTTATCTGACTGGGGCCTCGGTGGCCAAGTGGTCTAAGTTGTTACTACTGTAATCACTAGCCAGTCAACACTGAGATTGTGAGTTCGAACCCTGCTGGTGCGGGTGCACTCGACTCCAATCTTAATTGACTAGGATTGTCAGTTTTCCTATCGAAGGTCGTGGTTTTCTTCGGGCACTCCGGCTTCCTCCACCAATAAAAACTGGCCGCCACGAAATAGCCCAAAAGCGGTGCTTAAAAGTGGCGTTAAAAACACAAAATTCAAATCAAATTTTATCTGACTTCCTTGTACCACATGTTAAAACTTGGTTTGTCAAATCAGAAAATCAATCTGTTTGCCCTACAATATGGCAGCTAAAGGGAAATAACTCCAACTCAAATTTGGAAAAGATATTTTCCATTGCTCTATAATGGCTTCATTAACGTCAATAAAATTGTCAATTTATCATTTCGAATTAGCTCTGGAATTACCAATCTCAAAAACATTAAGCTACGAGCTGATTTACTTACATCCATAGAGCACCAATAAAAACCCTTGATCCATGACATGTTTTCATTGTATCAAGTGTCCAGGCCCACACGAGAAGGCGGGTCGATCACCAGGAGGAACTGGTTAATCTGTACTAAGTTTGATGATCATTAGATGACTCTGGTGTCAATAGTGTTAGCTATAGGTTGAACTATTGAACTGACAATTATTAGCTATTTGAAAAAAACATTCTAAAGAAAATAGTTATCAGCTTACAGTTTTAAAGGTGTATGCCGACTAAATTTAGCTAGCATTAAAATTATAATGTCTTTAAACACGCAATCTCTTGAATTCATATGAAATTTTGCACACAATTACAGTATGCTGAGCTGTATCTGAACATCTAAAAAAATGTAAAATTTATGTGCATTTATACATATAAAGATGCAGTAAATTGTTTGTCTGACAAATTAAAGTTTAAATGTTTAGAATGCACATAAAAATCAGCTTAAAATATCTATTCAAGGTTTATTTCGTTGGTGCCCTTTCAAAATGACTGTAGTCAACACTATAAAATGAATTATATAAGCTAATAAATGTACCCTACAAGTTTGTTGTGTGTGATGGTTCAGGGTGACAACTAGATAAAAATATAAGGGAAGCAAATTAAACTATGGAAAAGAGTAAAACAACAAAAATACCGAACTCCAAGGAAAATTCAAAACGGAAAGTCCCTTAACAATTGGCCAAATCAAAAGCTCAAACACATCGAACGAATGGAAACAAATGAAAATGCATGTAAGATTATTTAATAGAATATAAAAAAAGAAATATTTATGTTTTCAGGATTGCCAGTTGCTCCCCAATCACATGGAAGTTGGGATTCGCAGCTGTTGAAGATCCCTGCCGTTTCACCTTCTATTATTAACTGTTGTGTCATGAAAGTTGACTATTATATTAAAGTAAGACCTAATTAGTGTTATATACAAAATGATACAAGGCAAATTGTCATATTGATATATAGATGTTGGGAATGCCATAATGTTTGAACGTCAAAACTTCTTTAGCATCAACATGAACATATTGGTGTAGCTTAGTTCTAAAGTCAAGCTACAACCTTTGGAAAATTATTTTGTGCATGCATGGACACCAGTTTGTAAAATATCCTCTAGTTTCAAGTTATTGTTAGAGAGTAACATGAAACACTAACTAATCACTAGGTGTTATAACTCTTTAATACCAGAGGAGAGAGCTGGTCTAGTAACTGTTCAACTCAGTCCTTCATTCCTTGCATCACTATGCCTGAAACATTTAAAGGGTACATTATTTGTGTCACACATAACACCAGCAGTTTTCTTTAACTTCATTCAAACATAGATTGACAATGTGCTTCTATTTTGAACTGATTTTAGTTATTTACAAGTTAACTATTTTTGGAATTTCCATCATTTTTGCCATGTCTTTTGGAAAATCTTGTTTGTGCTGTATTTAGACCCCTCTACCAAGAAATTTGCTTTACTTGCACAAGTATAAAAATTGCGGTTTTTATTCAACGCAATCATAGGCTTGAACATTGTTTTCAATTTAGACTTGTTTATATTGTTTCGTTTGGGCTTGTATTATATTTGCCTTTGGGTTTATATGATCCGTTCATCCTATTTCGACTCTTTCAAAATTCAAGAGTCTATCCTAAATTGAGGTAAATTATATGGCCTTCCAAATACTGTTTTGATTCCTAACATCACTGAAGAGACATTAATTGTCGAAATCTGGATATGGTGTACAAATTTTTGCACCTCATGTTTGTGGTATACCATCTTTTCCGCAAGTTTATTGTTTTCTGTTTGGTAATAAATTATTATAAGATCCATTTTGTTACATCTGATGATCCTTTTATTTGGCAATCGCCAATGGCAGTCAGCAGGGTTTAAGAACATCAGTTGTTCGACCTGCTAGTCAAATGCGTTTGGTTAAAATATTCTTTTCACTTTTTTGGTCTTTTGGAAAATGTTGTTTGTGCTGTATTTAGACCCCTCTTCCAAGAAATTTGTTTTACATGCACAAGTATAAAAATTGCGGTTTTTATCCAAAGCAATCATAGTTTTGAACGTTGTTTTCAATTTAGACTTGTTTATATATATATATATATGTACTAGTATATGGGAAAACATTTGTGTAATCTCTATCTCTTTCAGATTTATTTTAACATTATTCAAAATTTGCACATTGATGAACTACATATTGAAGATGAACACCTAATTTAGATAGAATTTATTTTTTTTTCCAACTGATTACTATTATTATACCCCACGCAACAAAGTTGCTGAGGGTAAAATGTTTTTGACCCGTCAGTCCTGTTCTTTTCATCGCAACACCTCCGAAACCACACAACAGAATTTCATGAAACTTTGCAGATAATAAGGACATACTATGTAGATGTGCATATCGATGGGAAATTATGATTCAATTTTTGTTTCTTTTTGTAGGAGTTATGCCCCTTTGAACTTATTGGCCTCAATATACTACTGCAACAGTTTGTCATCGCAACTCCTCTGAAACCACAAAACAGCATTTCATGAAACTTTGTAGATGATAAGGATATACTATGTAGATGTGCATAACGACAGGAGATTATGATTAAATTATTTTTCTAGGAGTTGTGCCCCTTTGAACTTAGTGGCCTCAATATACTACTGCAACAGTTTATCGCAACTCCGCTGAAACCACACAACAGAATTTCATGAAACTTTGTAGTTAATGAGGACATAATTTGTAAATATGCATATCCACAAGAAAATTTTTATCAGTTGACTTTGAACTTATTAATCTGGTGAGATTTTGTTTGTCCAGTGACAATGTTGGGGCGTGGGGTATGTGAGCGTGCTCACAAAGGTTCTTTAATTAATTATGACTACTCCATGTCTGATCCAAATAACCATTCACTGAAAAAGATAAAAGTGTTTGTTAAACATGATAAAGTTAGGCAACAGATCACAATGTCATTATATGCAGCATTTGTTTATTTTTCATACATTCATGCATGTATTAGTTAGAGCAATTTACTTGCCTTCTCCTCAAATACTTAAGTAAATCAGTATGAACACTTTTGCAATACATTTATTTTTATTGAAATAAGCTAAGCTTCATGATATGATTCTTGAATGACTGTTATTCAAGTATAAAGTTTCAATACCAGACTTCAACTTTCAAATGAAGGTGTATGTGTATGTCTATAACAGTCACCAGTTGGCAGGTGATCCTATGATGATAAATTAAGAGAATTTCATTTTTATACGACCGCAAAAATTAAAAATTTTTTGGTCGTATATTGGTATGACGTTGGCGTCGTCGTCGTCGTCGTCGTCGTCGTCGTCGTCGTCGTCGTCGTCGTCGTCCGGCGTCGTCTGGCGTCGTCCGAAGACACATTGGTTTTCGCACTCTAACTTTAGTTTAAGTGAATGGATCTCCATGAAATTTCACCATAAGGTTCAATACCACGAAAGGAAGGTTGGGATTGATTTTGGGGGTTATGGTACCAACAGTTAAGGAATTAGGGGCCAAAAAGGGGCCAAAAATAAGCATTTTTGTAATTTTCAGACAATAACTTGTGTGTAAGTGTATAGATCTCTCTGACATTGTACCACAAGGTTCCATATCACAAAGGGAAGGCTGTAATTGATTTTGGGGGTAATTGCCTCAAAATTTTAGGAATTAGGGGCCAAAAAAGGGGCAAAAAACAAGCATTTTTCTAGTTTCATGACAATAACTTGTGTGTAAGTGTTTGGATATTTCTGAAATTGTACTACAAGGTTCCATATCACAAAGGGAAAGCTGGAATTGAGTTTGGGGGTAATTGCCCGAAACGTTTAGGAATTGGGGGCCAAAAAGGGGCCAAAAATAAGCATTTTTCTAGTTTCCAGACAATAACTTGTGTTCAAGTGTATGGATCTCTCTGAAATTGTACTGCAAGGTACCATACCACAAAGGGAAGGCTGGGATTGAGTTTGGGGGTGATGAATCATAAGGGGGTTCAAAAAATTTGGGGGGGAGATTTTTTTTTTTTTTTTTTCTTTTTTTCCTTTTTTTTTTCTTTTAAAATTTTCCATTTTAAGTTGATTATTTCTGATTTATATTTAAAAGCAAATAATAATGATATGGTAGGAGATACACACCAAACAGGATGTGTAAATTATTATATAATAAGTATTGTGCAATAGCAAGAAATTTTCAATTGCACAGTATTGCACAATAGCAAGAAATCTTCAATTGCACAGTATTGCGCAATAGCAAGAAATCTTCAATTGCACAGTATTGCGCAATAGCAAGAAATATCCAATAGCACAATATTGCGCAATAGCAAGAAATTGTCAATTGTACAGTATTGCGCAATAGCAAGAAATATTCAATTGCACAGTGTTGTGCAAAAGAAGATACTTCGTATAAATTGCTTATTTCTTGATCAATTTCAATGGGGTTTTATTCTTGAATTCTTGGGGTTCTTTAATATTCTGAATCTAACCGTGTATTAAGTTTTTGGATTTTGGGCCCCGTTTTTAAATTGGTCCACATTGAGGTCCAAAGGGTCCAAAATTTAACTTTGTTTGATTTCATCAAAAATTGAATTATTGGGGTTCTTTGATATGCCGAATCTAACCGTGTATTTAGATTTTTAATTTGGGGTCCCGTTTTTTAAATTGGTCTACATTAAGGTCCAAAGGGTCCAAAATTAAACTTAATTTGATTTTAACAAAAATTGAATTCTTGGGGTTCTTTGATATGCTGAATCTAAACATGTGTTTAGATTTTTGATTATGGGCCCAGTTTTCAAGTTGGTCCAAGTTGGGGTCCAAAATTAAACTTTGTTTGATTTCAACAAAAATTGAATATATGGGGTTATTTGATATGCAAAATCTAAACATGTATTTAGATTTTAGATTTTTGGCCCAGTTTTCAAGTTGGTCCAAATTGGGGTCCAAAATTAAACTTTGTTTGATTTCAACAAAAATTGAATATATGGGGTTCTTTGATATGCTGAATCTTACCATGTATTTAGATTTTTTATTTGTGGGCCTGCTATCAAATTGGTTCATATTGAGGTCAAAAGGGTCCAAAATTAAACTTTGTTTGATTTCATAAAAAATTGAATTATTGGGGTTCTTTGATATGCCAAATCTAACTGTGTATTTAGATTTTTAATTTTGGGTCCTGTTTTTTAAATTGGTCTACATTAAGGTCCAAAGGGTCCAAAATTAAACTTAGTTTGATTTTAACAAAAATTGAATTTTTGGGGTTCTTTGATATGCTGAATCTAAACATGTGTTTAGATTTTTAATTATGGGACCAGTTTTCAAGTTGGTCCAAGTTGGGGTCCAAAATTAAACTTTGTTTGATTTCAACAAAAATTGAATATATGGGGTTCTTTGATATGCTGAATCTAAACATGTTTTTAGATTTTTGGCCCAGTTTTCAAGTTGGTCCAAATTGGGGTCCAAAATTAAACTTTGTTTGATTTCAACAAAAATTGAATATATGGGGTTCTTTGATATGCTGAATCTTACCATGTATTTAGATTTTTTATTTGTGGGCCCGCTATCAAATTGGTTCATATTGAGGTCAAAAGGGTCCAAAATTAAACTTTGTTTGATTTCATCAAAAATTGAATAATTGGGGTTCTTTGATATGCCAAATCTAACCGTGTTTTTAGATTTTTAATTTTGGGTCCCGTTTTTTAAATTTGTCTACATTAAGGTCCAAAGGGTCCAAAATTAAACTTAGTTTGATTTTAACAAAAATTGAATTCTTCGGGTACTTTGATATGCTGAATCTAAACATGTGTTTAGATTTTTGATTATGGGACCAGTTTTCAAGTTTGTCCAAGTTGGGGTCCAAAATTAAACTTTGTTTGATTTCAACAAAAATTGAATATATGGGGTTCTTTGATATGCTGAATCTAACCATGTATTTTGATTTTGGACATTGGACCATAATAGGTAAATTAAAAACATTGAAGTTCTTAGACCACATTCTTTCTGTGTCAGAAACCTATGCTGTGTCAAATATTTAATCACAATCCAAATTCAGAGCTGTATCAAGCTTGAATGTTGTGTCCATACTTGCCCCAACTGTTCAGGGTTCGACCTCTGCGGTCGTATCAAGCTGCGCCCAGCGAAGCATTTTATTACTGACTGAAGCCAGATTTTAAAAACATAGATTTTTTCTTGTTTCTCAAGTAGTCACAATTGTCATTTGTTATTCTTGACTTGTTGAACTTATTTTCAGGTGGCATTACATATACCTGGTGCTTATAATCTGACATTACATCTACCTATAGTGATTGGAACAGTGCCCTTTCGACAAGGACCAACTAGATACACAAGTACCAGGTTCTTCAATGAAACATTTACAGACTACCAAAACAGGACAACCTTACCTGTACCTCCACCTTATAGAGAAACTATCACACCTCCCCCACCGTTTGATGGTAAGTGGCCTTTTTTATAGACAGCAAAAAATTTGCGTTCATATATTGCTATCATGTCATCGTCGTCGTCTGAAGACATTTGGTTTCCTGACAATAACTTTAGTATAAGTGAATGGATCTTTATGAAATTTAACCACAAGGTTCGTTAGCACTTAAGGAAGGTTTTGATTGATTTTGGGGTTATGGCCCCAATTGTGTAGGAATTGGGGGGCAAAAAAGGGCAAAAAAGGCATTTTTCTAGTTTTCTGGACAATAACTTGTGTATAAGTGTATGGATCTCTATGAATTGTACCACAAGGTTCCATACCATAAAGGGAAGGTTGGAATTGACTTTGGGGATTATGGCCGAAACCGTTTGGGAATTGGGGGCAAAAAAAGCGGGGAAAAACAAGGTTTTTCTGGTTAATGGACTATTACTTAAGTATTAGTCTATAGATCTCTATGAAATTGAAACACAAGGTTCCATACCACAAAGAAAAGGTTGGGTTTGACTTTGGGGGTTATGGCTCAAAATGTTCAGGAATAAGGGGCAAAAAAGGGGGGGACAAGGTTTTACTTGAGTATTAGTCAATGGATCACTATTAAATTGTACCACAAGGTTCCATACCACACACAGAAGGTTGGAGTCAATTTTGTGGGTTCTATTCCATGATAAGTTACTTCATTATCTAATCACTTTTCAGCAAAGACGATCGCCAATTCAGATTTAAAATTCAAACTTTTATTAAATTTTTTTGTAAAGTTATTTTTTACATGTGCTTTATTTACTTTATAATGCGCATGCGTCCAAGTGTCTTCACCAGATTCGAAAGATGTAAGATGCAAAAATGATTTCTTGCCAAATTAAACGAATGAAGCTATTATCAGTTATATATTCAAACATTTTTAAAGGAAGTGAATAAAGAAATACTATGATTTCCTGCTTTTTGATAAGCAGATCGAACTCTGTATATGAATCTGGAATCACTTGTGATTTATGATTAACTTTAATAATTTCATTTCTCAAAATCAAAAGTTAGGGTGATGAAAATTTATGGTTTTTATACGACCGCAAAAAAAATTTTGTGGTCGTATATTGGTATGACGTTGCCGTCGTCGTCGTCTGGTGTCGTCCGAAGACACATTGGTTTTTGCACTCTAACTTTAGTTTAAGTGAATGGACCTCGATGAAATTTTACCACAAGGTTCAATACCACAAAAGGAAGGTTGGGATTGATTTTGGGGTTTATGGTACCAATAGTAAAGGAATAAGGGGCCAAAAAGGGGACAAAAATAAGCATTTTTGTAACTTCCAGACATAACTTGTGTGTTAGTGTATGGATCTCTCTGACATTGTACCACAAGGTTCCATATCACAAAAGGAATGCTGGGATTGATTTTGGGGGTAATTGCCTCCAAATTTTAGGAATTAGGGGCCAAAAAAGGGGCAAAAAACAAGCATTTTTCTAGTTTCATGACAATAACTTGTGTGTAAGTGTATTGATCTTTCTGAAATTGTACTACAAGGTTCTATATCACAAAGGGAAAGCTGGAATTGAGTTTGGGGTAATTGCCGAAACGTTTAGGAATTGGGGGCCAAAAAGGGGCCAAAAATAAGCATTTTTCTAGTTTCCAGACATTAACTTGTGTTCAAGTGTATGGATCTCTCTGAAATTGTACTGCAAGGTACCATACCACAAAGGGAAGGCTGGGATTGAGTTTGGGGATTATGGCCGAAACCGTTTGGGAATTGGGGGCAAAAAAAGCGGGGAAAAACAAGGTTTTTCTGGTTAATGGACTATTACTTAAGTATTAGTCTATAGATCCCTTTTTTTTTTCTTTTAAAATTTTCCATTTTAAGTTGGTGATTTCTGATTTATATTTAAAAGCAAATAATAATGATATGGTAGGAGATACACACCAAACAGGATGTGTAAATTATTATATAATAAGTATTGTGCAATAGCAAGAAATTTTCAATTGCACAGTATTGCACAATAGCAAGAAATCTTCAATTGCACAGTATTGCGCAATAGCAAGAAATCTTCAATTGCACAGTATTGCGCAATAGCAAGAAATATCCAATAGCACAATATTGCACAATAGCAAGAAATTGTCAATTGTACAGTATTGTGCAATAGCAAAAAATATTTAATTGCACAGTATTGTGCAAAAGAAGATACCTCGTATAAATTGCTTATTTCTTGACCAATTTCAATGGGGTTTTATTCTTGAATTCTTGGGGTTCTTTAATATGCTGAATCTAACCGTGTATTTAGTTTTTGGATTTTGGGCCCCGTTTTTAAATTGGTCCACATTGAGGTCCAAAGGGTCCAAAATTAAACTTTGTTTGATTTCATCAAAAATTGAATTATTGGGGTTCTTTGATATGCCGAATCTAACCATGTATTTAGATTCTTAATTTTTGGTTCCGTTTTCAAATTGGTCTACATTAAGGTCCAAAGGGTCCAAAATTAAACTTAGTTTGATTTTAACAAAAATTGAATTCTTAGGGTTCTTTGATATGCTGAATCTAAACATGTATTTAGATTTTTGATTATGGGCCCAGTTTTCAAGTTGGTCCAAATCGGGGTCCAAAATTAAACTTTGTATGATTTCAACAAAAATTGAATATATGGGGTTCATTGATATGCTGAATCTAACCATGTATTTAGATTTTTGATTTTTGGGCCCCGTTATCAACTTTGTCCACATTGAGGTCAAAAGGGTCCAAAATTAAACTTTGTTTGATTTCATCAAAAATTGAATTCTTGGGGTTCTTTGATATGCTGAATCTAACCATGTATTTAGATTTTGGATATTGGACCATAATTGGTGAATGTCCAATTTAAAATTTTTAAGTTCTTAGACCATATTCATTCTGTGTCAGAAACCTATGCTGTGTCAAATATTTAATCACAATCCAAATGCAAAGCTGTATCAAGCTTGAATGTTGTGTCCATACTTGCCCCAACTGTTCAGGGTTCGACCTCTGCGGTCGTATCAAGCTGCGCCCTGCGGAGCATTTTATTAAGTCATTAAAATCATTTCAATTTTAAACTGATGCATTCCATCATTGCCCATAAATTGTTCTTAAACATTTTTGAAAAACGTAAGAAATTTCATGAAGTAAATGCAGTAAAACCATCAATAATAACTTAGTTGATGCTGTGAATCGACTATGAATTCAATAGTTTGAAAAAATCAAAAGTAGGGTGGTCAAAATTTATGGTTTTAAGTCATCCAAATTATTTCATTTTAAACCCTTGCATTCCATCATTGTCCATAAATTGTTCTTGAACATTTTTAGAAAAAAGGTAAGAAACTTCAGAAAGGAAATTCGGTGAGACCGTCAATAATAACTTAGTTGATGCTTTGAATTGAGTATGAAATCAAATGTTTGAAAAACAATCCTAACTTTGAAGTAATCTCAAAATGACAGAAATTGCCCCTTGGTTGGAGTTTTGGTACTATACTGTTAAGAAGTTAATATAAAAAAGAAGATGTGGTATTATTGCCAATGAGACAACTCTCCACAAGAAACCAAAGGTTGTTCTACTATATAAGTCTGCATACTTTTGTCTTAATATGAAAATTGCACATAAACTTGTTTTTTTTTCAGACCCACCAACTTATCATGAGAGTGTAGGTGGCGCTGTTAGATTGGATGATGAAGATGACGATGATGATGAAAACACATGTAATATGGGAGACCTAACATATACACCAATGTATAACTATGTATATAATTATAGACCACCACCTACTTATACTGAGGTACTTATATTTACTTAGATATAAAGAATAAGCTGATGTCCATCTTTCCATCTTTCGTTATAAGAGTTTTAGCCTGCATTTCTTGGGAGTTTGATGAAATTAAAGTCTGGGGTTTTCATCTACATTATATCAGATAAGTTAGAAAATTAGCTTTTTATCAGAAATATTTTGGGGGAGTTGTGCACTTTGAAGTGTTAATTATATTGAAAATCAAAATGGGAAATGCTCTGGCAACCACATTTCTCATATTGAAGTTAAATGGAAGTTATGTTGTAGCAATATCTCAAATGAATTTGAAAATTATTGCTGATCCATTATTTTTGTAGGAGATTGAATAAGAGAGAGCAATAAGCTATTGTATTTATTGCCTTAAAGTTCTTGTTGCATAAATTTAAATGGCCAGGTAAACTCCAACTGATTCTGGGGAAAGGTTTTATTTCCTCTGCAATAATAAGAAATGTAAAATAAAATGAATATTCATCATTTGAAGTGCTGTTGTGCCTACATTTTTTAATGGAAGTTAAATGAAATTTGAAAAAAAGGATGGATCTAATATTTTTTTGGGGAGTAAGGCTGTTTGGAAATGTAGGTAGGTTTGAAAATTCTAGTATATCAGCTGGGGACATTGTTTACTCTGTAAACAATTAATATTAGCATTAAATCATTTGATAAAAATGAAGTTACTAGTGAAAGTTTAGGATTTCACAAAAAATTTAGATTTTCATGTGAGAGACACATGTGTCCTTGGGATGTTTTCTGCTATTTGGTCGGGTTGTCTCTTTGACACATTCCACATTTCCATTCACAATTCTATAGGTTTATATCATAGCTACAAAGCGTCCTTTTTGCTTTTTTCAGGAGGACCCCCATCCAATTAGTTTATGTGATGTACCCAGAAGGTTGCCTCGGAACATTGATCGGTGATGACAAATATGTCAGTAATTTATCAGCAGTGCCTGTTAACATTTATCAAATGACAGTTTTGTTATCAGCGAAAAAAAAAAAAAAAATGGAGGATTTGTTATCAGCGAAAAAAAAATTAAAAAAATGGAGGAATGTCCACCTAAAAGACTACAGCTGGAAAGAAGTGGAAATATATTTATTTTGATGATATAAATTTTATGTTCAGGTCTCAGGTTGTTCGCCAATTTGTTGTCAGAATTTTACATTGTGGACAGAGCTCACACTGTTTTCTTGTAAAAGATATGTCAAGGAGGAACCAATCATATTTATCACACAAAAGAAATTACAACTATTGTAATGTGATACATCATTTATGTATGTGATTGTTTTATGGATTGACTAAACCACTGTAAATCCATCAGTCTATTGTATTTATATTATATTAAAGGGTTGTTGTACTTATACAATGTTATATTGGTGAATTTTGTTTAGAATAGAATATTCTATCATCCAAGATTACAAGTACAATTGATATTCTATGAGGCATACTATTCACCTTTTGTTGAATTTGCAACATTTTGTTGCGAAAAAAAAAGACAGCAATCTCACATTCTGTTGTCAGCTTCATCAACATCTAGGTTCAGTCAGTGGATAAATTTTTTTAAGACATCAATAAGTTTTTCAAGTCTCATGGAATTTTATGAAAATTAGGCAGAAACTTTTTTATGATGACAGTGCAGTATCCAGAGCAAAATTTTGAAAATATTTGTTTTTTATTTTTTCGCATGATAAATTAATGCTTTTTTTTTTGCAGTACACTTTAGGATACATTTTAAGGTTAAAGTTTTTTCAGACATCAATAACTTGAACAGAAGATTATTCATGATCCAAAATAAAATTTAAATATTTTTTTTTTCAATACATTACTGATAAAAGGACTTTTTTTTTTTTGCAGTTTACATTTAGAAACAGTTCTGAGTTAAAGTTTTATAGATATCAATAGCTTTGTTGAACTATCTTGGAATTTTGTGAAACTTGGGACAGAAGCTTAACTATGATGCAGATATAAATGATATAATGTTTAAAGATTTTTTTTTTTTCCATTTTTCCATTATTTAATATTAGATGAACTTTTTTTGTGCAGTTAGCTTTTACCCTAGGTATTGGATTAAATTTATTTTTTAGACCTTTTTTTCATACAGTATGGGATTAAATTGTTTAGGTATCAGTAACTTTGTTAAACCTTGGCTTCATAGAATGTTATGATACTTGGATTGAAAATTCTTCAAGTTTAAGAAAAAGGCATTTGAAGAAAAAAAATGTTTTTTTTTTAGTTTTTCAGTATTTTACTGATAAATGGAATTAGTTTTTGATAGTCAACATTACACTTTTACACTGAAAGCAGCAGTAGCGGGCAAGACACAGGGGTTCTGCCCTTTAAGATGGTTATGGTGCAAAAGCACTTTTATTTGAATGGCAAAACTTTGAAATGGCAAGATAACATAATTTAGAGCTATTAATGGCACCTGTGTAAAGCTTTTTTGTACTTATGTAGAAAAAGGAATATTACTTGGCCTTACAGTAATATGTGATAAGACTAAACCACTGTTAATTCCACCGTCTATAATAGGTAATGAAAGTATTATATTGTGTGTGTAAAAGAGCTTTTTTTGTAATGTCTTTTCTGACAGAAATTGATTGATTTTTTTCTAAATAAATTATTCCATGAAATAACAACCAAAACAGATTAAAGTATTTAATGTAAGACATCTTATACTGCATGATGCCCTAATATTACAGTATTAATGTAATTTACACTTGGCCTTTAATAAATATAATACAAAATTTTGATGCAGATATATTTGAGGCTATTATGGGTTTAATGGTATTAAGAGTACATTTGAAAAAGCAATACACATAGATAGAAGGCAATGTCATGAAAATATTGTATGTTGTAAACAATCTAGTGTAAAATTAATTAATTTCTATACAATATTTTTCAGTGAGATGATAAATTAAATATTACAAATATTCAATAGCATACATTAAAACCAAATCAATGAAACTTGTGTACATGTTGTAGTAGTTTGCTACAAGCAATACTATGAGTAAAGGATGTTCGCTCCTCTTGTTTTTGAATTTTTGCCAGATATTCAGAATCCTCTGGTTTTATCCGTGTAGTGCCATTAAAAAAAAAATTTGCCCACTAACCCCTACTTTTCTTTTCATAATTTGATTACATATAGTTTAAAATGCCATCTTTGAAAATCTTATTAAATCCTTGTTATTTTTTCATAGTCAAGAAAAAAGGTACCAATGTTAAATGTATGAAAAATCTAAAGAGAATCATTTCCTGCCAAATTTTCAATGGCTTATATCCGAAAACAAGCACACGGACCCTTCATTTTTTTCTGCTTTTATTGTTCCTTTATTTATATACTACCAATTTATAGCAGTCTTTTAAAAAGCTTGTTATTTTGAAACAAAGAGTAGCAAACATCCTTAATATTGAATTGTTGGTGTGAACAATAGCATTACATTTATTTCAGAATTTACTGTAGTTGTTAAGCATTTTGAATTTCACACCTACTTATAAAGAAAAAGGTGCTGTTTGTCCAATGATAATTTATGCCAATAAATATGTATTTTGATAAAGGATGTATGAGGGTTAAATAGATGATAGATTTGTGTTACAGAATACTGCCATATTTGAAGTTGTTGAATGCATTTACTCTAGTGACCAAACCTATCACTCTCAAATTTAAATACCTGCATGTAGCTTCAATTAGAATCCTTTTCACAAATTGGATTTTGTATGGCACAGTGGCATAAAGTAGACAATAATCAATCCATTAACATTAGAATTAATTCTGTTCAAGTTTGTTTAATGATTTGTTACCAGTTTTAATGATTTGAATTTTATACTTGATGTTTATACTGTAAATATTCTGTTAAATTTTTTGTTTTCTTGCAAATGGTCAATTCTGTTATTTTATCAAGAGCAAACAATGTTTATCAACCAAAATTCCTTTAGTGGCAAGCACCCCCTCCTCTTTTCCCCCTTTAATTAGGCCAGTACTTAAAGGTAACGTTGCCTTAATAAGTCTGTTTTACATGATCAATATTGATCTCAGCTTCATCAATTTTGTAGGTAGCATTTGGTAAATTTAAATGAATCAGTGTGAGCAATTGATTACCATTTTGATGTTCAATGCTAAAATATGTATGACAGGATTGATATGCAACTAGTAAGTACAGAAATGATATATATTGACAGAAGACAACTCTCATATGTATGATGTCAAAATTCTTTTTTATTAGAATTAAAATATTATTTTTGGATATGTTTTGCTTTTTAAAACATTTTTCATATTCATTGTTTGAAGTCATTTTTATCTTGCCATAAACATTTTTACATCATATTAAGTAACAATCGGTCTAAGAATCAGGCAGTGGTGAAAACATGACAAATGATTTGAATTTTACCAAAAAACTCACTCAAGTTGACATTAATTTATGTTCAAATTGCATAATTGTGGATGAATATAACATTTGTTTCCTTTTCCTGTTCTGGTAATTCAAGATATATTTTGGTTGAAATGCATTAGAAATTAACAATTAAGGGGAGCTAACTCTGTAATTTACTATCGTTCTTACCAAAGAGATTTCTTGAATTAGCAGACATGCAGAAACTAAAGACCTACTATTTCTAACTCAGGATGAGGGTAACTCCAAAATAGGATGGTTAGGTCAGTGGTTTTTTTTTTAGCCATGTTTTGAAATTTTTCTAAATTGCCTGATTCTTACAAAGACTGGCACTAATTATTGTTAAAGGTTAAAGCCAATTAGTTTGAAAGAAATACTAATGTTTTGTAGTTTGTATATGGCATTTTATCAGTCAAATAAATATCTTAGTGGCAAGAATGGTCTTTAATGGAAGTTATTTCAAATTACCTGTTTATAAATGACTAGTTTTAATATAGCCACTATTTTATCCAAATTTTAAATATATCTAAATATATATATTGTTCTGTGTGATAGATATTGTTAGTATATATTACTATGGTGCCTAAGCTGTAATTGGTATTAAGAAATGTATTTACATACTTGTAGCTTCCATTAAAACCCCTTGAGCTGTAATGAGCTGTGGTGGTATGTTGAAGCTTACAATCAATCCATTGAAATTGTGGTTCAATAGCCAAATAATAATGATTTATAGAGATCACCACATGTGTGTATGTGTACAAAAACTGCAAACTTTGATGGTCACAAGTTTGAGTGGACATGTTTTACCATACTATTTGCACAAACATTGCTTTCGTTCAACTTTGTTGAGAGAGACAAAAAATTATCATTCGTCTCAATCCATTTTTTATACGACCTCAAAAAAATTTTTGTGGTCGTATATTGGTATGACGTTGGCGTCGTCGTCGTTGTTGTCATCCGAAGACACATTAGTTTTCGCACTCTAACTTTAGTTTAAGTGAATGGATCTCAATGAAATTTTACCTTAAGGTTCAATACCACAAAAGGAAGGTGGGGATTGATTTTGGGGGTTATGGTACCCACAGTTAAGGATTTAGGGGCCAAAAATAAGCATTTTTGTAACTTCCAGACATAACTTGTGTGTAAGTGTATGGATCTCTCTGACATTGTACCACAAGGTTCCATATCACAAAGGGAATGCTTGGATTGATTTTGGGGGTAATTGCCTCCAAATTTTAGGAATTAGGGGCAAAAAAGGGGCAAAAAACAAGCATTTTTCTAGTTTCATGACAATAACTTGTGTGTAAGTGTATGGATCTTTATGAAATTGTACTACAAGGTTCCATATCACAAAGGGAAAGCTGGAATTGAGTTTGGGGGTAATTGCCCAAAAAGTTTAGGAATAATGGGCCAAAAAGGGGCCAAAAATAAGCATTTTTCTAGTTTCCAGACAATAACTTGTGTTCAAATGTATGGATCTCTCTGAAATTGTACTGCAAGGTACCATACCACAAAGGGAAGGCTGGGATTGATTTTGGGGGTAATTCCCTCAAAATTTTAGTAATTAGGGGCCATAAAAGGGCAAAAAAACAAGCATTTTTCTAGTTTCAGGACAATAACTTGTGTGTAAGTGTATGGATCTTTATGAAATTGTACTGCAAGGTACCATACCACAAAGGGAAAGCTGGGATTGAGTTTGGGGGTGATGAATCATAAGGGGGTTACAAAAATTGGGGGGGGGGGGGGGGGATTTTTTTTTCTTTAAAATTTTCCATTTTAAATTGGTTATTTCTGATTTATATATAAAAGCAAATAATAATGATATGGTTTGAATAGGTAAATTAAAAAATTTTAAGTTCTTAGACCACTTTCATTCTGTGTGAGAAACCTATGCTGTGTCAAATATTTAATTACAATCCAAATTCAGTGCTGTATCAAGCTTGAATGTTGTGTCCATACTTGCCCCAACTGTTCAGGGTTCGACCTCTGCGGTTGTATCAAGCTGCGCCCCAGCAGAGCATTTTATTTTTAATTATATGTTTGCAAATATTACCATATTTAGAGCTGTTGACCAAAACCTAACCATGTATGCCAATTCATGACCTATTTGATAAATTTTGACCATAAAGCCTCTGAAACATATGCTTTCAAAACTAATATTGTAGTTAAGAACCAGCAATCAGAAAATATTGCAGAATGGAGACCAAAGCTTATTTATATTGTATCATATTTATTGTAAATTATAAAATTGATGTATTTCTTCAAAAAAGTAATGCAGATTTTTTCAATTTAAGGTCAATAAAAATGTGATTGATATCGAATATTTTGTGTTAACAACAAAAATTAGTCTCTTATAAATGCACTGATTGCTTTATTTTTGCATGAAACATATTACATCTCCATACTAATAATAAAACGATGATAAAAGAGAGAAGAAAGATACCAAAGGGACATTCAATATCATAAGTCGAAACTAAACTGACAATGCCTGGCAAAAGAAGAAAAAGATCAAAAGACAAACAACAGTACTGCAACACATGTGGCACCTGTCGTGTTGCTCAGAATAGGCATTAATTGATTTATTGATAGATTTACATGTTGCTTATGATGTATTGATAGTGGCATTTACTTTAAAATACTATATGCAACTTTGTGACAACACCCTATTGGATATGCTTTACCTAATGAAAAGAAGAAACTATTAAATGAATACTATTGCAAATATATTATATAGAACAATTTGTACCTAAACCAATATACCTTGATTTTTGTCAAAGCAAATGCATAGTTTCCTATAATATCTGTATGAGTATATACCTTGATTTTTTGTCAAAGCAAATGCATATATAGTTTCCTATAATATCTGTATGAGTATATGATATATACTTATGAGTGATTAAAAGAAAGCCTCATCATGTTTGTTGTGTACATTATATTTGTAAACATGCATGACTGTTGTATGGTATAATTTATGTCATCACATGATATGTAGCTATATATTCATTTAGCCCTTCAGTCAAGTGTAAAGTCATGAACTTTTTATGATTTGGTTTTTGTCATGTCAGAAAACAGAAAATCATGTGTTCATTTGAAATTTCAAAGTTATATGAAACCTAGCTTGTAATTTAGTATTTGGCCAGTAATTGATTGTTGTCAATGTAAATGACCCAATTTAGATATTTAGTAGTTAACTTGTTAAATTTTTAGAATCCATTTCTAAAGAAGACCCTAAATAAACCAAATGAACAACTTATGGTTATTAAGTAGGAAAATTTTACCATCTCATTACCATAGAATATATGAAAAAAATGGAATGAAATGTCTAAAATCTATGATAGTAAGCACCATTTACCATTAAAAAAGACAAATTTCCTCTCAAGTCTTGGAATATATTTTTTTCTGTTTATTATACATCCAAGACATCCTAAAGAACCCTTATTTGAAGTAACTACAGCTGTAAAGATATTAAATGAAGTCTGTTTCTATGCTGAAATCTTGATTTCTCGTTTTCCAAACAACTTTTAAGAGCGTATAAACAAGTTTTTAATTTAAGTGCTTAGCTCAGTTGAGAGGAAATACAAATTTGCTTATATTTTATTAAGTTTGATTTTTTTTTTTTATTAGTCTCTTTTTTTTTTTGTGATAATAAGTGCAATCTTTATATATGTTAACTGTTATAGATTAAATAGTGATATTTCAAAGTATTTATATGTTTCTCTTGTAGTAACTGATACATAGTTTCATGTTTGTTTAACCATTTAGTGACATTCATAATGAAATCCTTCATAAAATGATCTCAATAGTTTTTATATGAATAAGATATTTAATGAATAATTTATTGTAAAACTTTTACCAGCAAAATCCTACTGAAAATGCCATTCAAGTTTTGAAATCAAATTCTAGTTAGAAATGTTGTTTTTTTTATAAATTGTGAGTAAAGTTTGATTCATATTCTAAGATGTTTCTTTAAATAATGACAAATGTCAGCTAAAATAGTGGTAGTTATATCTGTTATATTTTTGCTGTGGAAGTATCTCTTTTCCAATGAAACAACAAAGACTATAATGATGTCATCGTTTTTCCATTGGCAGAAAACTTGAAACTTTTATAAGCAAAAAAAAAATGACCCTGAATAACTAAAAAAAATTGGAACCTGAAACAAATGTAGAAAAATCTGTTTGCATTCTTAAAATTATTCATTAATTATTTGTCTCTGAATAAAGTAGATAATTTTTTCAATAGTTCTGACAAAATTTGTCTAATTTTATTATGAATCTCACGATATGAAATAACTGGAATCTCATCTAGACAATTCCAAACAAAACTTACTTACTTTATATAAGTTGTTATTGTTTTCATTTTAATACATGATAAATTGAATTTAATGTTGTAATATATAAGAATAATGTATGTTGTCATGTTGTGTCTCATGGACAAAAAGCATGATTTTTATGCTAAATAAAAGAAGTGATTTATCATGTTTTGCTTGTATAGCTATTTGATGGTTCCTCAATAGATATGTTATAGTTGTGCTTCACTGTCAAGCCAGTAACTTCTTCAGTGACCTTCTTGTAGAGTGCTTGCCTGGAGTGTCAAAAGTTGTTGGTTTTGATCCCAAGCCAGGTTAGACCTAAGACTTGAAAATCGGTGTTTGGTGCTTCTCTGCTAAGCACATGACATTTAGGAGTAATAGCAGCTGAGTTGGTTTCCAGTCAGTCAGAATAATGTGTTCAGGAATTTGAAAGGTGACATCTATTTTGTACGGTTACCTTGTGAAATGGCAGTTTAAAAATATGACTGTGTTGGTCTGGTACACAGCAGATCATATCAACATGTTCTCTCTCTTAATGTGCATTTAATTTGCCACTGGACTGGTCTTTTAACTGTCATAGATTCATCAATCCACTACAATAGATATAAAAATGATAATGTGACTAATATAAGTTAATTTACATTTAGATGTTAAATCTGTAGTGGCAGTCCTCAAAGGAAATTTGTTTCTGATACATTCATATATGTACATACATGCATGCATATATATTTCCTCTATAACAAATAAAAAAAAAATAAAAACACGAAGAAACACAAACTAAATGGAAGATCATCTTATAAATCATTTTAATGGCTTGGACAGTTCTTGTTAAGCGAAGCATAATGTCCAATCAAATTGTATTATGCCAGTTATGCACCCCTTCTTGTCAACTTTTTATACGACCGCAAAAAAATTTTGTGGTCGTATATTGGTATGACGTTGGCGTCGTCGTCGTCGTCCGAAGACACATTGGTTTTCGCACTCTAACTTTAGTTTAAGTAAATGGATCTTTTTGAAATTTGACCATAAGGTTAAATACCACAAAAGGAAGGTTGGGATTGATTTTGGGGGTTATGGTACCAACAGTTAAGGAATTAGGGGCCAAAAAAGGGCCAAAAATAAGCATTTTCTAGTTTCCAGACAATAACTGTGGAACGGTGTATGGATCGCTCTGAAATTATACTACAAGTTTCCATACCACAAAGGGATGGTTAGGATTTGCTTTGGGGGGTTATGGCTCAAACCGTTTAGGAATTAGGGGCAAAAAAGGGGGAAAAACAAGGTTGTCCTGGTTAATGGACAAATACTTTAGTACAAAACATAATTTAAAGCAGTGTAAGGGAGATAAATCAAATACATCATTGAAATTATCTCCCTTACACTGCTTTTAAATTATGTATAAAGTAATGGTTAATGAACAATAAAGATAATTTAAAACAGTGTAAGGGAGGTAATCCAAATACAACGTTTTGGTTACTTCCCTTACACTGCTTTTAAATTATGTTTAAAGAAATGCATATTTATAAAGGAAGACCAGTAAAAATATCTGCAAATGTTGCATCTTTTTTTTTTACAAAAAAATCCATATGAAAGATTTGACACTATATTTTTAATTCTATTATAAAATAGATTAAGTTAGCACTATGGTAAATTTAAATGGGTAATTATGGTTGCCAACTCCATTGGAAATTTGAATTGAGATTATGACCATATCTTGAGGGAAAGAATTTTTTGGGGGAAAAAAGGGGGGGGGGATAAAAAGAAATTGTGGGGGGTCAATTTTTTCTCATTTCAGATTTCAGAAATTAAAAAAATTATTCTTCAAATATTTTTTTTTTTTCAAATTTCAAATATTGAAAAATTTCAAGAAGAAATCTTTAATTGCACAGTATGGCGCATTAGATTTGTAAAATCTTTGATCACATTTATTTATTTGTTATGCCGAATCCAACAGTGTATTTAGATTTTTAATTTTGGGTCCAGTTTTCAAATTGGTCTACATTAAGGTCCAAAGGGTCCAAAATTAAACTTTGTTTGATTTTAGCAAAAATTGAATATATGAGGTTCTTTGATATGCTGAATCAAAACATGTATTTAGATTTTTGATTTTTGGCCCAGTTTTCAAGTTGGTCCAAATTGGGGTCCAAAATTGAACTTTGTTTGATTTCAACAAAAATTGAATATATGGGGTTCCTTGATATGCTGAATCTAACAATGTATTTAGATTTTTTATTTGTGGACCCCGTTATCAAATTGGTTCATATTGAGGTCAAAAGGGTCCAAAATTAAACTTTGTTTGATTTCATCAAAAATTGAATTATTGGGGTTCTTTGATATTCCAAATCTAACCGTGTATTTAGATTTTTAATTTTGGGTCCTGTTTTTTAAATTGGTCTACATAAAGGTCCAAAGGGTCCAAAATTAAACTTAGTTTGATTTTAACAAAAATTGAATTCTTGGGGTTCTTTGATATGCTGAATCTAAACATGTGTTTAGATTTTTGATTATGGGCCCAGTTTTCAAGTTGGTCCAAGATAGGGTCCAGTATTTAAACTTTGTTTGATTTCAACAAAAATTGAATATATGGGGTTCTTTGATATGCTGAATCTAAACATGTATTTAGATTTTTGATTATGGGCCCAGTTTTCAAGTTGGTCCAAATTGGGGTCTAAAATTAAACTTTGTTTGATATCAACAAAAATTGAATATATGAGGTTCTTTGATATGCTGAATCTAACCATGTATTTAGATTTTTTATTTGTAGGCCCCGCTATCAAATTGGTTCATATTGAGGTCAAAAGGGTCCAAAATAAAACTTTGTTTGATTTTATCAAAAATTGAATTATTGGGGTTCTTTGATATGCCAAATCTAACTGTATTTTTAGATTTTTAATTTGGGTCCCGTTTTTTAAATTGGTCTTCATTGAGGTCCAAAGGGTCCAAAATTAAACTTAGTTTGATTTTAACAAAAATTGAATTCTTGGGGTTCTTTGATATGCTGAATCTAATCATGTGTCTAGATTTTTGATTATGGGCCCAGTTTTCAAGTTGGTCCAAGTTGGGGTCCAAAATTAAACTTTTTTTGATTTCAACAAAAATTGAATATATGGGGTTCTTTGATATGCTGAATCTAACCATGAATTTAGATTTTTTATTTGTGGGCCCCGCTATCAAGTTGGTTCATATTGAGGTCAAAAGGGTCCAAAATTAAACTTTGTTTGATTTCATCAAAAATTGAATTATTGGGGTTCTTTGATATTCCAAATCTAACCGTGTATTTAGATTTTTAATTTTAAGTCCCGTTTTTTAAATTGGTCTACATTAAGGTCCAAAGGGTCCAAAATTAAACTTAGTTTGATTTTAGCAAAAATTGAATTCTTAGGGTTATTTGATATGCTGAATCTAAACATGTGTTTAGATTTTTGATTATGGGCCCAGTTTTCAAGTTTGTCCAAGTTGGGGTCCAAAATTAAACTTTGTTTGATTTTAACAAAAATTGGATATATGGGGTTCTTTGATATGCTGAATCTAACCATGTATTTTGATTTTGGACATTGGACCATAATAGGTAAATTAAAAAAATTCAAGTTCTTAGACCACATTCTTTCTGTGTCAGAAACCTATGCTGTGTCAAATATTTAATCACAATCCAAATTCAGAGCTGTATCAAGCTTGAATGTTGTGTCCATACTTGCCCCAACTGTTCAGGGTTCGACCTCTGCGGTCGTATCAAGCTGCGCCCAGCGAAGCATTTTATTTTTTTCATGTACAGATTTCGAGAAATGCAATCAAAACTCTTATGCTACTTGCTTGATATCTATATCTTCCAGGACTTATTACCACCTTTCCTACTTAAAGCAACAAAGTGCAACGAGGTGAACATTCTTTAGATCCTATCTAGCCAATGTCAACCAATTTATTGTCCCACACACAACTCAGTGTATCTGATATAAACATACTGTCCATGAGTCGAGTCTCTTCGGTCTTGTTAGCACTTTCACGTGTACAATTCTTTCCAGATTTTTATGAAACTTATATGATAGGTTACCGTTTTATATCAGCAATGTCTCAGATAATTTCGAAAATCAGTGCCAATCAAATATTTTTAAAAGAGTTATGTCCCTTTGAAATATTACTTATATCGTAAATTTCATTGCATTTGTACTCACGCCTTTATTTCTCTAAAATATAAAGACATTTTTAAGAACAATAAGAAAAAAAAATTTCTTAGGTTTTGCCCAACCCTTGTCCGTCTGTACGTCCGTCTGTACGTCCATATGTCCCAAAATTGGTTTCCGTTCTCTAACTTGAGTTTGCCTTAACCAAATGTTATGAAACTTATACACAATGCTTATTGCCACTAAACACAGATCAAGTTTGAATGTTGGTGGCGTCACTTTAACTGTTCTAGAGTGATGCCCCTTTATAAACGGAAAAATTGCAAAATTTTTAGTTTCCGTTTTCTAACTTAAGTTTGCCTCAACAAAATGTTATGAAACTTATACACAATGCTTATTACCACAAAACACAGATCAAGTTTGAATTTTGGTGACGTCACTTAAACCGTTCTAGAGTTATGCCCTTTTATAAATGGAAAAAATGCAAAATTTTTATTTTCTTCTAAATATCAAGTACTTTTTAAAATTGGAGTTATCTTCCTTTGTCCATGATTATAGTTGAATCAACAACAATCAATGCTTTATACTATGCAATGTTTAATTTTGACTTCCAATGATAAAACACAGATCAAGTTGAATTTGGATAGTGTCACTTTAACCATTATTGAGTTATGCCCCTTTATAAATCGAAAGATTGCAAAATTTTTAGTTTCCATTCTGTATTTCAAGTTTGCCCCAACCAAACATTATGAAACCTATACACAATATTCATTACCACAAAACTAAGATCAAGTACAAATTTTTTGTTTCCGTTTTCTAACTTTAGTTTGCCTCAACCAAATGTTATGAAACTTATACACAATGCTTATTACTACATAATACAGATTAAGTACGAAATTTGGTGGCAACACTTTTACCTTTCTTGAGTTATGTCCCTTTATAAACATAAAAATTGCTGAATTTTTTAGTTTGTCTCAACCAAGTGTTATAAAACTTATACACAAACGTTCTAGAGTTATGCGTGTTTACAAATAGAAAAAATGCTGCAATTTTAGTTTCTGTTCTCTACTTAAGTTAGCCTCAACCAAATGTTATGAGACTTTCACACAATGTCTATTACCACACAACTCAGATCAAGTGCAAATTTGGGTAGCGTCTCTTTTACCGTTCTTCAGTTATGTCCATTTATAAATATATGATATGCAAGCGGGGGCATCATCTGTGTCCACATGTGGACACTATCCACATTTATGTTAAAAATACTTTAGTTGTACACGGTGTGTGGATTTGTGATATAAAAAAGTTCAATACAAATGAACAGTTATGAACAAAGGATTTTAAAGTCTCTAATTTGCCTAAATGTGTTCAATTGCTAAGTACGAAAAACGAAAGCAGTCCTCACCCTTCAGTGCTCACAAGCCCTTTTCTCTAGTTCTTTGGCAATTTATCTGGACCCATTGTTAAACAAAACTTAACGTGTGGTTGCCGATGATCTCAGTAGATGATTGGCTAAGTTAAAAAAAAAAAGCATCTTGAAAAGTTGATTTTACGTTCAGATTTATTGATAATGTCTTAATGTTTTAATAACCTTCATTTCAGCGAGTATTTTAATCTCGTATATCCCAGTCTTGCATCCAAACCCTACAGACTGAAATTTTCATATCTTCTCTCAATTATAAAATGGTTAACTAAAGATGTAAATCTGTCACCTGATGCTGATAAAGGGTCAGATAATAATACTTAACAAACAGATGTTTAAAACAAAAAAACTGAGTTTGTAATAACAGTAGAGATGATAATACACAATGTGTCCAGTTTCTGATATTACCATTCCTGTTCTGGAACAATGAAATTAATTGAAATTTTGATTATTTTAACATTTTAAAAACTACTCATGGAAATTAAATATTAAAAAGGATGAAGGAAAGTTTGTGATGTTATATTTCCCTACACATTAAAAAAAAAAATTGTGAAATTTTTAGTTGTCTTCTTATAATTTTTAATTTGTATTACATGTTTACACTTGTAATTAACTAAATATTCACATTTGTATTAACTATTAATTCATCCATACAACAATTACCACCTATTATCAAGAGAACTAAACATCTGGTATTCATCAACTAACAAACTAATAATTGGAGTGACAAATTTATTTGAAAATTTTGTGTTTTCTAAGTGTTGTTGGTGATAAGCTGATTTTCCATCCAACATCATTTTGATGCAAATTCTTGGGCATAGTTGTAGGACTGTATCCCAGTAAATTTGATACTACTTAAATTGACGCTTCACAATTATTACTATATGTCTACAAAGCTTTGGATATTGGCTCACTGCCTATTCTTATACCGGATTTGTAAATATAAAACTTTTTTTTTCATTTTTAATGCAATGATGTTTTTCGTTACTTTGATCACCTTTCTTTACAGAAGGAAAACATTAAAGTTTAATATATTCCTATGTGTATATATTAATATGTTTTTCACTAGTTAATGAAGCAATGAATTCTTCACGTCTAATTTTTTTACAGGTTGATTGCTATATCTTCAACGCGATTATTAACAACTTATTCAATATGCCTTTAAAAAAATAATTCTTTTAGAGTGTTACATCCTGGATCTTTGAAAAGTACTTTTCGCAATAAATCTACCGTCAACACCTGGTTCTTAAGCCGGATTAAAAAAAAATCTGTTTATCATCTGTTGGTTTCATATTTGTAGACATTCTAGAAATTGAATTTAGGTAATATTTTGAAATTCATAATCCTATCTTAAATGAAGAGGAAAATTCATACGATACCAGTTTTGATACGATGCTCCTTTTTACGAATTGGTTGATTGTGCTAAGTTCAGCCTCATTAACAACGAAGAATCAACAAACAGATAATGCAATTACAAACTGCAATTGTGCTATCTAATAGAGTGCCGCCATTGATTATTAAAACTATTCTCCAAGATTTCAAAAGGTTTTAAATACTTTTGAAACTTTATACAAAACCCGTTCTTATTAAACTACTTGATTTTCTAATGAATCGAATGACCCAATTTATAGGTGAAATGGCATAACCTCTTTCACAATAATTGAAAAATAGCTACAGTTATCAAAAAGAAAAGAAAAAAAACTAAATACAATACATAGTGCTTAAAATTTCAAAAAGGCGCCTTTATATTCATCTTTGCATAAAAGTCACATGAGCAGATGGAGATGTACAGTACATGCCAATGTGACAGCAACAAAAAACTCAAGGACATCTGTATCTGTATAATATGTAAAGGGCTAAATCACCCAAATCTAGACAAAAATATGCTATCAACATCTCATTCCCAAAAGGACATTTACATTTAGATACAAACGAAAGACATTCCCTGACAAGGCTATTAAGCAGTTACAGACCCTTGAACATGTGTCAGAGTTTAATATATACTTTTATCTCTATCTTAATCTTCTCCCCCCTTTTCATGGATGTAAAATAGAGAACTAGAGAACTAAAATGATTGGTTTGCTGTACATATGCTTAAATGCTTTGAATTTATTACTCCTTCTTATCAAGTTGATGGACAGTTTAATTTAATTTTCATCTATATGAAACAAATTTTTGAATTCTACTTTATCACTCTCACTCATTAAATAAATACTCGATTTAGTTAAATGGTTATGCATTTATATATGTTATTGCGTCAAGTCAACAGATAGTTCTTTTTAAATTTTATATCCGGGAAACGTACTTAGGTATATATCTCATTATGCCATTTAGACCAATTATAGGAAATTTTAAGAACAAATTAAATACAAGAAGTTTTCCTTTTTGTACAAGTAAAAGACATCACTTTTCAATCTTTTAGTTAACAGTATTCGAAATGGAGTCACGCGGACTTGACTTAGACTAGATGGTAAATTCGATACGTTGTTCTGTTCTATTCGTATTGTCATTCAGTATATTCTGTACTGTTTTGATTTTAGTTTGTAGTCAATTACGATCTGGGAAATGTGTTCAGTAGACTTTTGAAACAGTAACTGCCGAAATGACATTTGATGACAACAAACGACTGAACTAAAAACTACTATTGTTTACCACTATATTTTTGTATAATGTATTTGCTTCTTACATTCAATTCCTGCCGAAGGTCAGTGTTTCTCTCCGGGCAACTCTGGTTTCCTCCACCAATAAGACTGGCCACCACGATATAGCCAAGAGTGCTGAAAGAAGGGGCGTTAAACACCAACAATCGATCAATCAACCAATCTTACGTTAAACAAGAAACCTAATAAATTTCGTTTCATATAAGAAATTAGTTAACGCTCAGCAATAATTATTTGGGTTCTTCTGTAAAATTTCTCACAACAGCCAACAGAAGCGTTATCATATTTAGTGAAAACGTATGTTAAGTTACTATTTCTGTTAAACATTTAATAATATACACCTGTTAATAATTTCTGATTTTTATCTTGATAATAATTTTGTTCATCTTGGATATAACGTATATGTCAAGTATATGGTATTTACCTCTTTTTTTATAAGATTTGTTATGCTCACTGTATACTGTTATGCATCACAGTTTATAGCTAAACTTCATACACATATACAGAATCAATGAATCACCATTTGATAGATCATTCAATGTGTAGGTTTTTCGACGACTTGTTCTTTGTAAAATTTATCAACGTTAGCTTATCCTCACTGATCGAATTAGCGAAAGATTGTCTGAAATGGGTCAAAGTTCTGAAGTTTTCCATTTCTTAATGACAAAGCTACAGATTGTTCTTTTCTTTTTTTTTTTAAAAGTTAACTTTTTATACTATTTCTCCTTGAAAATAAACTCCACGTGAATGCACAATCCTTCATTACCATTAAGAACAAATAAATAAGTAAAACATACAATAAAAACAAACTACATACGCATGCAGTACTGAATTGAAGCTACATGAAAATGAAATTGTCACATTTGCACCGATGGAACCGGTATTCCCATTGGTAATTATTGTGCACCCTCCTGGTTAACTTTTTTGTACTAATATAAAGCAGAATTCATACAAAATGAAAAACACCTTGCAAAGTTTTTATTTCACTTTAATAAATATTGATGTCACTCAATAACCAACATTGAGTGAGTAATTGCATCTCACATATCCTAGTGAACTGGAGATTAAGGATACTACCAAATTAGATGTTCCGCTCCATATCTTGATCTTTTCTTCGATGTTGACACAGCTTCAAGTTAGAATTTATGAAAAACAGGATGATTTCAACTTTCAAATTGTTAACTTCTCATTTCCAAGCAGAGGCATACCAACTCCATTGTATGGCGTTTACATATCTCAATTAAATCTTTACACTCGTGCATGTTAATGATATGCGGGTTTCATTAGCAGGGGTATACTCCATACGCAAAACCTGAATCACAAGGAAGAACGACTGAAATCGATACTACATAAGTTAGAAAGTAAAAAGAACAAAAATACTGATCTCAAAGGAAAATTCAAAACGGAAATTCCTTTATCAAATGGCAAAATCAAAAGATCAAACACATCAAACGAATGGAAAATAACTGTCATATTCCTGACTTGGTACAGGCATTTCCTTATGTAGAAAACGGTGGATAAAACTTGGTTTAATAGCTAGCTAAACCTCTCACTTGTATGACAGTCGCATATAATTCCATTATATTGACATAAATGTGTGAGCAAAACAAACAGACATAATATGTAAAAATGTAAAAAACTGGAGTACAGCCGTCAACATTGTAATATAATCTTAATCACTATAAAAACAAATAACTATTTGAAAAAAAGAATAACAAAATGGCACATAGACACTCTATAGACAAAGTACAAAAATGAAAGACAAGAATACAAAATTGACCATAGCACGATAACACAATGGCGGGATGTACAAGTACCGAGCCACGCCAAAAGTATATTACCAAAAATGGACTAAACAGTAAAGGTTACAAATGTACAAGGACAAATGAAAAGAACACTATAACACGTAATTAAGATGATAAACAACATCAGTACCGAGAATCTATACTTCAAGACTTAAGAATGACAAATACTAGTGTAAGAGGTGGAAAAGTAAAATCATATTTCAATTAGGCTTGGAATATTTTAGTTTCCACGATTGCATAGAAAGGGTTTTTCCACATTTGCAGAAAAACCAGGATCGACTGCTTATATAATATATGGTAGCAATGTTGGAAAATAGCTTCGTACAACATTTGCCATACATAGCAATAAAACGCTGAGTGTAAGGTCATTTTTTAACGAGGGGCATTTATCAAATTTACAATTAAGCAACAGTAGTTTACCAATGTTCAAATATCTCATACAGACAGTTTATCGATACCAAACCCAGCAATATAACAATGTTAGTTATGTTACTTGCCTCTGGCTATCCAGTAGATTGACAGAAAATCTAGTTTTTCACTTTTGGTAACACTTCTGAAGTACCATAAAACACATCTATAATTGATCTTAATGTCCTGCAATGTAAATGCTGTTGGAGTATATGTATAATTTCCAAATTAAATGTAAATCCTCATTTGCTTATCGTTCTGTTTATTGAGTGTGATTTCCCAACAAAAATAATACTTGTGTCTTATTCTGCGCTGCTGGAATGTTGACGAAAAGGTTTGTTCTCAACCGAACACCCCCCCCCCCCCTCCCCAAAAAAAAAATCCTATGTTATGACAAATTACATTTTTTTTTTATGAATATCAAATGATGGAAATTTCCTATTATATACCGTGCACCGAATCGTGTCGTTTGTACTGAATTCGGTATTATACGTTAATGAAGCAATAAGTCATCTTTAATCAAAACTACAAATTAAGGTTAAATAGAGCGATCTTTTGTTAGAAATCAAAACTATCACAGTAGTCAGCACTTTATAATATCATGGATATGTAGATTTTAAGTAAACCTGCATACTGTTTATTACCATTTACTCGAAATACTAAGATTTTTACTACACCCCAGTCATAAATAAACTTAGCCGTTTTTGGCACAACTTTTCGATACTTGGATTTTAGTGCTCTTCAACCTCTATTTGATTTAACTTTTCATCTGTTATGATTCGAGCGGCACTGGTGAGTCATCTGTAGACGAAACACTCATCTGGCGTACCGTATTATAAGCCTGATATCACATGGGAAACTTAATACAAAAAAATATGTATATTGTTATTCTAAGTAATTAAATTGTTTTCATTGTAAAAAAAAAGTGTGAAGTATGAACTTGAACTGATGGGCCTTTGATATCTCCACTGTAATGTTGCAGTAATGGAATAATGTTCGCTCTCTAAGACATAACTACGCGATGAAAACAATTAAACGTTAAATGAAATAGACAGTTAAAGAGAAAACAAGAATCTTTATGCGTAAATATTCTATGTGATTAATAGTACATGTACATTTATTCCCTTTTGTATAATTTCTTTTGAATATAAATGTAAGTATATGAATTTAATAATTTAGGAAATCTATTTTGATAGTGGGGTATAATCAACCAATTACTTAACCAGGGTGTCACCCAAAACCTACAAGGAAGTTATTAAGGGTGCATGCATTAACTTGGTGCTGCATGGGATTTTCCCGACGTTGCAGTTTATAAATAAATAAGTATAAATTTGGCTGCATTATAAATTTTCTTGTATTTCAAAATAGTGTTAAAACGGTCCAAACGGTGCTACATAAAACGTGAATATGTGGTAAGTAATGTTTGGTTTTTAAATTGAAAATAATAGTATTAAAATTATTACTACTACTTTTTCTTTTTTAAGTAGATTTATACGGAACCCTTTTAGGGCCAAGTTAATTTACTTTTTCTAATTTGATATAACAAATTATTAATTTGATATAACAGATTATCAATTTGATATAACAAATTATCAATCTCATATAACAAATTATTAATTTGATATAACAGATTATCAATTTTATATAACAAATTAATAAGTTGATATAACAAATTAATAAGTTGATATAACATTTTTTTAATTTGATATAACAGATTATCAATTAGATATAACAAATTATCAATTGGATATAACAGATTGTGAATTTCTCTACCAATAGTATGATTTAATCATTATAATGATTGATTGGAAGATTGCGCATTTTTATATTGATTGATTGTTTATCTGATGTCCAGTAACAAATATCTCATTGAATGCATATTCAAACTCTATTAACAGGTTTAATGTTTCTGAAACCCTCCTTCTCCCCTTTTATCATTTATTTGAGGCAGTTTTGAGGACTAGTTTTCTCTTTAGTACATGGGACCTGATGTCTAAGACCGAACGAATATTATAGAGAAAAAGAATTAATTTATATTGCACATTTTCAAGTCAGAACGAAATGAATAGTTCTATTGAGATATTGGTGTTTCTAGGAACATAGGAACACGCAAGGATAAATAATTTATCAACATTTAGGTAAACACAACCACAATACTAAATTTATTAGATTTCTACCGCTCGAAACGATCCAGAAACAACAAGGGCAATCGCATAAACAATTTGAAGATTCCCGTAAAATTATCGAACTGTCTTGGATTGAACGACTTCAAACAGCATATCCCCTGGGTCTAAATGACAATATACTTGGACAAGGGAACATATCTACAACTTCTATTGATATCATGAATATTATGGATTAAAGACAACGAAATAATAGGTCTCGTATCAAACGTATCAATCGAAATCAACGAATTAAACATCGTATAAATTATACACTTGGTAATCTCCTATCTATATTTAAAAACAATGGTAGACATCAATTATTATGTAAACTGGGTCAAACACCAATTAGTAAATTACATGATATTTTCAAGGAGTGTGACACCATCTCTTTCTTCAGCCCGCTGTATGAATATTCGCGTATAATTACAGCTTTTTGCCACCATAGGCTGTTCCCGCGTATCGACAAACCTGAAGATCATAAACGTCATTTTCTAAAAATTAAATATATAAGCAGAGGTATTGATTTTATCAACTTATCTAGTATATTTAATGACTACCGTTCAAAACTTCATACCTCCCTATTTTGATAACACAGAACCACCTATTATTTTATACACATACAAAAAACCCAGCAGAAGTTTAATTTTTAATTATACGCCGGTAACATCAGACGTCAATGTAGAAAATAATGCTCCTTTAACTGAAACTGTGAATCGTCGAAGTTTAGATATGTTCCCTATGGCCATGTTATTACGGGTGACTTCAAAATCGTCCAGGACAGAGAGGTTAAACACTTTATGAAAAAAGGACCAAAATATCGTCCTCCATCTAAAATAGATTGGAAACAGTGTCGTCAGGTCACCAAAGATGCTCTTTCCTCGTTTTGTAAAAATTGGTGTAAACGGGAAAAATCTGACAAAACATCTCTTGATTCTTATCTAAATAAATGTATGAATGTGGTAGATAATAGAAAATCACATTTTGAAAATAATTTAGAAGTAAATAATAGAGTACATAATACGCCTATTTCCAGAATAAGAAATAAACTTCAAGAACTTTCAAAGCGGTTTGCGTTTGTACCGGCCAACAAAGCAGCCAACAATGTGGTGGTGGTATGCCGTAAATACTACACGGACGACACGGACATTCTTAAGAATGAAATAGTAAATTCATCTACATTCAAGTCCATGCACCCCACAGAGAGTCATATAGTTAACAAACATATCATAACCACATCACAGCTTAAGGCTTCTGCTGAACATTTGAAGGTTCCTACTATGTATTGGTTACCTAAACTACACAAAAAAACAGTAAAATATCGTTTCATCTCGGCCTCTAGTAAGTGTTCTACAACTAATCTTTCAGTGCTTTAAACAAGTTCCTTAACTTCTATCAAAGAGCTTATCATAAACTAGTGTAATAAAATATATGAAAATAGTGCAATTAACTATTTTTGGAGTGTAAAAAATTCTTTGGATGTTTTAGATAAATTACGTGCTTTTGATGGTCCTATTGATTCTGTTGACAGTTTTGACTTTTCTACTCTTTACACTACACTTCCCCGCAATCTTATCAAACAAAAATTTGACTATTTAATTAAATGGTCGTTTGGTAAATCTGAATGCAAATATATAAAGCCTTCTTCTCTAATGAGAAAGGTAAATGTGCTAGATATACTTACTGGAGGTGTGATGAGATGATTGAAGCTGTTCATTTTCTCCTTGATAATATTTATGTACGTTTCGGCAGCAAAGTTTATCGACAGGTTGTAGGTATTCCTATGGGCACTTATTGCACCCCTTTAATAGCAGACTGGTTTTTTGTACTGTAATGAATCACAGTTTATGACCAAACTCAGTAAAGACCCGTCTAAATTGCATTTTATTGATAAATTCAACAACACTTACCGTTATCTTGATGATATTTTTTCGTTAAATAATCAAGAATTTTCTCAATATACTACCGAAATTTACACAAAGGAACTTTATTTAAATAAATCAAATCTAAACGGTAACAACTGTCCTTTCCTAGATTTAGATATTTCGGTTTTACACGGGAAACTCCACACTAAAATTTACGACAAAAGGGACGATTTTTCGTTCCCTATTGTTAATTTTTCCTTTTGGGATGGTGATGTTCCTTTGGCACCATCTTACGGTGTTTATATTTCACAACTCGTTCGCTATGCCCGTGTCTCTTGTGACGTTTTTGATTTTAACGAACGTAATCTATGTATTACTGGTAAATTATTAAGCCAGGGATTTCGTTACCACAAATTACTTAAAACCTTTACTCAATTCTTCCACAGATATAAAGATCTGGTTTTGAAGTTTGGTTGTACCTGTAGAAAACTTCTTTCAAATGGGATTGCACACCTCATTTTTACGGCAATATTGTTTACCGTGCCCGGAAATTTAGAAACGATACTGGTAAACTTGTCGATCCTTTCAATGAAATTATTCTAAAAGGTTACCAATTCAACACTGTAATTAGATCATTAAATATTGTTTTTATTGGTACTAATATTGATTTTGTTATCAGTAAATTAAAAGCAAACTAAATATTATTGTTACATACATATACACATTCATGGATCTACAATCTGTCGATACCTGTATCTTGGCATTGCACAAGGTCATGTTTTTCTCTGACTGTTAATGACGTGTTTACACTAAATCCATTGGATTTTGGATGTGTACGGATTGATAATTTAGTCTTAGATGCATGATTTTTTTTATTAGTTGTTAGTGGCTTTGAACTAGTTGTCAGAAACTGCGAGTACTCTCAGATCTGTACCTAGTGTCTTAATTTTTGTTGTTTCGATGTACAAGTACCCGGCCACGTCCACTTGTATTTGTAGTATTTGTATTTTTATCCATCTGATGAGTTAAGCCTCTTTCAACTGATTTTTATAGTTCGTTCTTATGTTGTACTGTTACACCACTGTCCCAGGTTAGGGGGAGGGTTGGGATCCCGCTAACATGTTTAACCCCGCCACATTCTGTATGTATGTGACTGTCCTAAGTCAGGAGCCTGTAATTCAGTGGTTGTCGTTTGTTTATGTGTTACATATTTGTTTTTCGTTCATTTTTTGTACATAAATTAGGCCGTTAGTTTTCTCGTTTGAATTGTTTTACATTGTCATTTCGGGGCCTTTTATAGCTGACTGTGTCGTCCCGTGATGCTCGGATATATACGTCTGGAGTTTTTATTTCCGTTGAACAAATCACACGTGTATAATCTTAATAACTGTGTATTTGCTTCGCATCACGGTGCGGAGCTATTAGTTTCAGTCGACATACACGCCATCTTGAAATAATTACTTATCACATATAGAATCTGATTGGTTGCTTTATGATGCGGTTGAGATACAGCAACAGCTATTGGCTTAAATGAGATAAAGAATTACGGAATTTTCTCGTCTCAGGATAAGACATCAAATGTCGGAAAATTAACTATGTGTATTTCAGTTCCGATCAACTGTCATTAATTCATGTTCTTTTTATAATGCATATATTGCACACTGAAATTCAATATTAAAATATCAATTAGTAATACGTGTTTATTTGCTTTGTTAATTTTGCAATATGCACGATTTGTTTTGCTAAACAATGTTCCTATACAATGTTTACAAAAATGCATTATCTGTATTTTATAACTTCTGCCAATCTAGGCACACCTACAGAGAGGCACACCTCCAGAGTCGTGTCGATTTTTAACTTTTTTAATTTTCAACAAGTAAAGTGAACAAAATTTTAAAAGCATGGGTGTATAACGCACAAAATCAATATTTAAAAATACCACATTTCCAATGCTAAACCAACAACCACATGCACATATATTACCTTAAATTAAGATAGAGCGAAGCAGTCCACAGCTTTCTAGAAAGCTCAAACTTGTTATAGATTTAGGATCGCATATCAAGAGCAATGCAAAAATATTCAGGTCTCTATCTCTGAATAGTTTTAGCATTTCACTTATATATCCTTTATGTCAAATAAAAAAGGGGAAAACCACAATCCATTCATAAGTAATTTGATATATCAAATTATCATAATTTTTTATATCAAATTGATAATCTGTTATATCAAATTAATAATTTGTTATATCAGATTGATAATTTGTTATATCAAATTGATAATCTGTTATATCAAATTGATAATCTGTTATATCAAGTTAGTAATTTGTTATATCAAATTGGAAAAAGTAAATTAGCATGGCCCTAAAAGGCTTCCGTAGATTTATAAATAATCCGAAGATTTGTTGTTCTGAAAATAAGAAAGCAAAAGAAAAAAACAAATACTTAAACAAAAGAAAATGAATAAACAAAACTAAAGTCAAATACAAAACACAAACAAACAAAAAATAAAAAATAATCAGATATACATGGTGTATATATGTAAAGGTATATACTGATTTTAAGTTTCAATTAAACCTTCCATGAATATACAATATCTCTTGATTGTTGACTTTGTTTCTTTTCCAATTGTCTGGTTTGTCAACCTTAGCTTTCGACTTTTTGAGCGTTGCTAATGAGGTCAAATCCAGTCCATGTCAATATGAATGTAGCACTTTTTAAGAATTGAATGCTTCTTTTTGTAATTTTAAAACATTTAAGTCTCTGAAGGATTTGCTTCTTTTTTACGTGTTGTCAACTTTGCAATGTTGAGAATACATAATAATAAGCAAATTCGTCAGTGACCAAAATTACAAAATATCATTTAAAAATAACACAAGATAAAAAAAGTGATATTTTGAATAGAGAAAATTACAAAATATTTTCCAAGTTTCAAATAAAAGATGTTTCTTCTTTCAGAGAAATTAGCTGAATGACTGCAAGTCCAAGTTCATGCAATAATCTGATCTTAATGTCCCTCCCAATAACTGGCTAATCCACTTCGTTATTTGACCATAGCATACTTTGGCCTCAGGCGGGAGATAAAGTTTCTACACTCATGATGTACAATAATGCCCTAGACCCCAGATGGCTAATCCCCAGATAAAATTACTAAACAGTAGATATTACTTAATCCTCAATGATTATCTGAACTTGCAGACAAAAATGTTTTTATTTCAAATAAATTTATTTTTGACAGCCAAGGTTCCTCAAGATGATGTTCAACAAACCTATAGGAAGGCCGAGCTAAGTTTGCTGTTACTATAAAACTCAAGTTGAGCAAAATGTCATTTATTCAAAATTTATCATTAATTGAGAATGACATATTAACAATATCAATAGTAGCAAATAAATGACAATGACATTAAAAAGCTAAGGTGGGGTTTAAAAAATGTCAAAAATCCCCAAAGGGGATCCCCACAGGAGAACTCCCTGTCCAGAACTAGGGAAGACAGTATATAAAGCTAAGGAAAATAAGCCATTACTGACCACTTAAATGCAGAGCAAGCCATGTTGAACTCTACTGTCCATATAGACGAAAATACATGTGAAAATAAAAACAAATTGTTAATAATAGTCATGTAAAAATGTTCACTAAAAATTCGAGAACATAGAAAAAACGAGCAAAATATATTTATTTCACAAAACACCATGTATTGGACATGTTGAATGAAAAACAAATGTAGAGCAAGCCATGTTGACCTCTACCCAAATATACTAAAATGTACAATGGACTGCAGACCAAACCATGTTGACCTCTACTAGTAAGTCCAGCATGTTCGACAAAATAAAAATAAATGAGTTTATCAGTTCATGCAGTTACAGATTCAAAAATTGAGGTGGAATGTACACAGGAGAAGGATTTAGCCATGGAGCTATCCGATGAACTTTTTGAGAAAAAAAAAAAACGAGACAACAGGTCAAAAATTACATTGGTCTTTCCAGGAATATGCTTAGCTCGAAAATGAATATTGAATTTTAAAGCAGCTAGTACCAATCTCCGGACCAATTTCATAATATTCTTTTCTTTAGAAGATGTTTTATTTATAATTGCACCAACCGCTGCATTATTGGTTAAAAACTAAATTTTATGGTTGGCTAAAAATGAACCCCAAATATCAATTGCCAAAACAATTGGAAAAAGTTCTTTTATTGTAATGGGTTAATTTCTTATCTCCATTCACCTGCAAACCATTTACTGCCAAAAACAGCAGCAAATCCACCATTTGTCCCAGCAGCATCTGAATAAAGTTTCGCAACATCTTAGGAAATCCATTTGTCATATAAAAACATGATTTGACATTAAAATCTTTAATAAATAAATCCCATAATTTAAGATATAGTCTTGCTTCAGAATTTAACTTTATTCTATAATGTGGAGATGTATGGCCTATAGTCAAATCAAATAATCTGCGTAAGAACGCTCTACCTGGAACAATGACCCCACAGGCAAAATTCAAAAGACTCAATAATGACTGAAACTCTCTTAAAGTAACACTACGTTTACATTTGTATTTATTGAGTAATAGTGAATTTTTTTGAATATTTTCATCAGGTAAACGAGCAACCATCTGTACGGAATCAATTTCAATCCCATATATTACAAGACAGGTTGTTGGGAGTTCTGTTTTTTTTCCATTTTATGGGAACCCCCACTTTCTCAGCAAGGCTCATAAAAGTGTGCAATGCTGTCAAACAATTATTAGTACCAAACTTTCCTACAAAGAAAAAATCATCAAGTAAGTGAGATACCCCATGAATGTGAAATTTCTCATTTAAAATCCATTGAAGTGCCAATGAAAAAGCTTCAAATAACTGACAGGACGAGGATGCCCCCATTGGTAGAGATGCGTCATAATAATATTTACTATCCCACTGAAATCCTAATAAATGATGATCCTTTTCTGAAATAGGAATTAAGTGAAATGAGTCTTTAATGTCACTTTTAGCCATTAGACACCGTGAACCATACAACTGGACTTATTCTATAACTGTCTCAATATTTTGGTATTGCACTGCTGAAATTCTGGAGAAATACCAGAATTAACTGAATTTCCTTGAGGGTAGGACAAATCATGAATTAATCTAAATGAATTTGGCTCTTTCTTTGGAACTAACCCTAAAGGGGAACAGACAAAATTAGGGAAAGGTGCATCTTTGAAGGGACCTTTAATACTTCCCAACTTTAATTCTTTTTAAATTCTTGATTGTACTGCAACTGGATTTTTCTCTGGCGCTATTATGATTTCGAGGAAAATTTAATTCAGATCTTGAAAAAGAAGAATTTATTGAAAACCCATGTGTAAAACCATGTATCAATTTCTCTTTCAACTGTTGATTGTAACCCGATAAATATTTATTCAATTCATGAACTTTTACCGGAGAAGGAAGGTTTGGCAGAGGTTGCTCGTTTAACTTGGTCCTATGTACAAGTGAGGGTACAATGTTTATTGCTGCAATGGACACACTGGTGTTTAAGTTTACAGCTTTTTTTAGGTACACTCCCCTGACTTACAGAAGTCCCAACAATAGCCGATGGGGAACTGAAATTGTTGTTGGAGGTATTCATAAAGGAGCTCCTTTCCTGAGACGTAACACTGTTAGACCGTTTAGTCAGAGATACAGACCTCCATAACTCGTCATTTATGGTATCCCATCTCAAATGTAGAATTTTTCTAACCCTTCTAAATTTCTCATCATATGTTTTAGCTGCTTGAAACCCCAATGATTTACATAGGGGAATAGTGTAATAGTATGAATAGTATAACCATACTTTATCAAGGCCAAAGCAGAATTCAAAGAATTTCCTAAATAAATGGACATAAATATGTCAAAAGCATTCATCCACTGATGAATTTATTGGAGCTCCCTTTTGCTTTTCCTATTTGAAATAGTGATGTTAAAATTTTCAAACAAAGTTGAGGAATCTTCCTCAATATTAGACGGCAGCAAAAAGGCAAAGTTCACATAATTGTCTGCCCAAACATCATCTTTTAGCTTACAACTAACATGAAAATCTATTGGTATAGAATGTTTTGACATACGACATGCATAGGGAGTGTCTACATTAGCAGAGCTTGAGTGGAACTGCTCACCAGGTATTACATTCGGATCCGATGATAAGGGTGGCTGAAATAATGCTAATGATGAGTCATGGTCATCACTGTTGTCATGTTGTATAGTTGCCAATGGTGGTATACTTGTAATAAATGGAATCTGCATAGACTGTGCTGAGCTTGCATGACCAGTTTGTGATGAAGGATTCAGTATGGCTGAAATCTCACTGGTCGGCATCACGTTATTGTCCTTTACTAGTTGAATGCCGGAACTGTGCAATTTGCATATAATGCTTCAGCAATGTCATTAGCGGATGGACTGGTATGATGATTATTGTTGGAAGAACTCATAATAATATTGTCCGGCAAATCAGCTCGTTGCGGTTGCGTCCTTGTATTCCTTCGTTTCTTTGCCCTGGATCTATTTAATGGCGGCAAAGCAGTAGTCTCAATCTCAAAAACATCCCCAATTGTCGCCTCAGTCAAATTTCCGGGAGCAGCTTTCCTTTTTGTTCTTTGCTTTGGCATTCTGACTGAAATATAGCTGTACTTTCAACAAAAATGGACCTTCCTCAGATCTTTAAAATTTAACACGTAGTTGGAAATCAGCTCTGGCAAAGTCTAATCCCCAGATAAAATTACTACACAGTAGATATTACTTAATCCTCAATGATTATCTACTGTGTAGTCAAAAAAGTTTTTATTTCCAATAAATTTATTTATAAATGTCACAAGATAAAAAAAAGTGATATTTTGAATAGAGACATGCAACCTTAACAGACATCGAGAAATACAAAATTCTCTGGAAAAAATCAATTTCTCTCAAGATACCACACCAACTTTGTTATTACTACAGGTTTAGTAATCGGCGGTTATTTTTCGTACTTTTATTGGTTTTGTAGTTTAATAAATTAAATGCACATTTCAATTACAAATTTTGTAGGAAATCCGTTTGTATAACCATTCTAATTTTGGGATTGTCCTATGGAAAAATATTGAATGAGACAAATGGCATGCTGGACGCAATGACGGTTGGTCCAGTGAGACACTTCTTACAAGAAATAACGTCATTTGAACCAATAAAAGTACCATCTCTTTCTATAATCAGAGAACTTAAAATAGAATTGGAAAATGATCACAAGTTAGAATTGGAAGGAAATTCAGATGCGAAAAAAAGAGGTAAGTTTTATATATAAAAATTGCTTTTAGGTGATTAAAAGAACACACAAAAGAGAGATCAACCCGACGGTACAGTTATTCAGAATTCAGCCTTCGGTATTCACGACCGTGTCTATAAAAATGAAAACAGAAATAAAACGTTATAAAGTTCATGCGTCCGAAGCGCTTTCCTGGATTTACCTTAAAGTGATGTCATTGATTCCAAAGAACGTAAGATATGTAAAGCCGAAAGACTATTAAGTCAGGGATTTTGTAACAATAAATTGCAATAAACCTTTTCTTAATTTTTTGACACAAAGATTTGGTTTAAACTATAGCGATCTAATTAAAAAAAGGATGTCAAATTCTAATTTCTTTCGGTTACGTTGTTCGTAAATTGAAGTACTATCCATGTAGACTTATTGGTCTTGGATAAGTTTATTCTTAATGGTTTCAATTTAAAATTGTAGTAATATCTTTAAATATTGTCTTTATCGATACTTACATTGATTTTCTATGGTTTAATGTATACTTATACAGTTGCTTTCCAGTTGTTAACACTTCTAGTGCTGCATCCTGTCGATACTTATATGTTGGCAGTGTACAAGGTCATTCTTTTTTCATAATGATTATGACGTCTTTACATTCCAAGTTCGTTGGATGTGTACTGATTGATTTTTAAGTCATGGAAACATGGTGTATTAATATATTGACATTGGGCTTAGAACACGCTTTCAGTGACTGAGAGCAGATCGGTAATTGTGTGTTTTGTCATTTTTTTAGTTGTTTTTGTGATTAGTACCGATCTGGTTTTTACAGTTTGCTATTATGTTGTGCTGTTTCACTGCTGTCTCATGTTCAGGTGATGGTTGTGTGCTTACAAAAGTGTTTAATCCTGCCACATTCTTCAATATGTATTTGTTCCATACAAGGATTCTGTAGTGCAGTGGTTGTCATTGACTGCCATAAGTAGCTTAAATCAGTCCTTTCACTTTTGAAATGATTCACATTATGTTTTTCCCAGGACGTGTTAAAGCCGCTTGAGAAAAAAAACATACGTAGCAACAGATGAAAATGAAAAGTCAATCGACAAAAAATCCTCCAACCCCAAAAATTTAAATGTTCGTCCCCTAATAACTTTAATAGCAGGTCAAGCTTAAAAGTCAACGCATCTAGCGGAGATATAAACTCAAAGCGCTTTGGAACCTGTTATGCTTAATATCTAGGTAAATATCAGGTCCGTTTTTTCTATGCAAAAAACAAGTCGAATGTTATCATGGTTATTGCGGGTAAACATTTTTTTTCTTTTTTTTTTAAATCTGAGCATTCAAATTGAAGATTATGCTCTATAGATTATATGTATTACATACGATAAACATTCCACATAGGATTCCAAGATATAATGACACTTTCAACCATAATCTACGTGTTCTTTTAAAAATTGATAGTAAACTCGTAGTAGCCCCCACCCAAATGTGTTGCAGTTCAACGTGTCGATTTGTTCATTTCTCAGGAGCATGTTTACAATGTATTCTGACTTCAGATTTCTAGTGGTCATACTAGTTAATAAACTTGCTATATATCATGCTACTTTTCTAACCAATACTTAAAGAACCTTTGTATTTTTATTGCTATTGCTACATTTGGATTCAGAAATCTTTACTAAATAGTGATACATGAATTAGTCGATTTAATAGAAACGCATCTACATTTTTTTTCTAGGCATCGACACACCCGATGGCAACATGACTTCAATGTTTGGACCACATCTTATTACAAAAATGGAATCAGTTTCAATACATGAACAAGGATTTATTTATGGAGACATTGTGCATCGTGCGCTAGAATATGCCAAGGGAGATTTCCCTCTCACAACTGGACACCAAACATCGGTATTTACAACTTCACCTGAAATGAGTCCAACAAATATGGTAACAGACACAACGGAAATTACGTCAACACCAGGTACCACCGTGACAACAACAACGCAGATAAGTCATCGAAGAAAAAAGCGAAGTGTCGAACAAGTATTGTAAGTACTAGTATTCAGTTTATAGCAAAACACAAAATAACATTTACTTTAATTATATTTTAAAATGTGAATTTAAATTTGAACTTTGCTTCCTAGGTAAATAACTTCTTGTTCAGAATGAAAAAAAAAGTAAGTGTCAAGAACACTTTTCTTATGGAAATGAGTCCAGAATTAGTAAAATATATCTAGCATTATTTTCCCCTAGGAAAACTATTCAGATGCTTCATTATCTGGCAAATTTAGAACATGGACTTTTTCAACTTTGGTACCAAAAGCGGCTAGATTAAAACAATAAATTTTTTTTACAATAACTATGATATTAAATTATAATTTAAACATATCTTTAAACTCTTCGTGTTTGTCTGTTTGTCTGTTTGTCTTGTATCTTTATTTTTTTTGTTAGTTGTTTTTGTGTGCTTTGTGTCGATCTGATAAGTCAAGACTTTTTGAAAATGAATCAAGAACTCAAGTTGCCTAGTTATGAATGACAATTTTATCAACTTTGATAGAAAAGTAAATAAGTCTGATGTATAGATTAATTTCTCTTATAGAAAGTCCTCTTTATTTTAGATTTTAATATTGGATATTTTTGCGATTTTTTCTTTATACAAAACCTACCTTATCTACTCAAATCTTATTATAAGATAAAATTGATATTGTTTTCATCAATGTTTTGTTTAATTGTTGAAAATAATAAGATTAATGTACACTTACCAAAAACTAAATATTCAACCTTACCTATAAAACATTTAATTTTTTTATGCAGCTTAATGATTATTTCAGGACAAGGATTTTATTCTAGAAAAAATCGATGACCTATAAATCTGTGAACTTTTCTAACTGAAATTGAACTAAAACACTAGTTAAATATTAAGTAAGCATGGACAAGCCAAAATCGTGTAATTCAGTGGTTTTTGTTGGTTGCTGTTTAACACACTTGTTTTTCGTTAATTATTTTGTACATAAAATTTCGTTTGAATTGTTTTACATTTTGTCATGTCGGGGTCTTCTATATCTTACCAACCGATATGGCTTTTTCTTATTTGTTGAAGGCCGTACGTAGACCTATTGTCATTTGAACTCTGGCGGATAGTTTTCTCATTGGTAATCATATCACATGTTGTTTTAAATAAATACTTTGGTCAATCATTTCTCAAGTACATTGTTTGTACTACTGAACAAAATGACGACTTGGTATCAACAACTTGACAGGATTGCCTAATAACTATACGATGTTTTGATTTTAGTTTTAATTTCGTTTTAATGATTGACACAAAGATTTTTTTTAACAAATCGACCAATAGAGAACTGCTCTCTAAAAAACGATAAGACATTTTTGATCGTTTTTTTTTTCTTAGAATTTTCTTTGTTGCAGGTCAGAAACAGACATAGAACAAATAGATCAGTTCATCTCAGACCTCCCAGACGCTAACCTCTTAGATCTTCCATGTCCATTCAGTTTTACAAAGTGTGACGAAACTGCAAAATACCGGACTATTGATGGATCCTGCAATAACCTGGAACATCCGTATTGGGGGAAATCATTTACTCCATTTGACAGATTTTTAAAAGCAGAATATCAGGATGGTACACAATATCTTGAATTGCATTTTTAAGCAAATGCTTTATATTTGCATCGCATCACTGTGCGAAACTATTAGTTTCAAATGATATTCATGCCATCTTGAAATAATTACTTAACAAATATTGGTTCTAATTGGTTGTCTTATGATGTGCCTATAGTTTTATTGGCTAGATAAGATATAGAATTGGGAACATGCCCCTGACAGGAGAAGATATCAAATACGGAAAAAAAGGAATGAAATAGCAGTATGGGTATTCCAGACCCAATCAACAATTATTGCTTCATTAAATTATGATACTGCGAGGCACTCCATACCTTTTTAGAAAGGTTAAACGTGTGGCAATTTTACTTTCTTTCGTAACAGATTGAATGAAACCTATAGCTTCGAATCGTGATGCAAGGCAAACGCGACCATCAAGTATTTAAAAGTAAAAGAAACGATGTTTGTTCATGACTTTAGCATTTAAAATATGTAAAATAAGTACATAGTATTTTTACCTCTTTTAAGTAGAATAAGTGAATACAAATAGACGGTAGTACTAAAAAGATAAACGGATGTGTATGGTATACTTCAATGAGTCAATCCACCTACAAAATAAAAACAAATATACTTTGCTATCTACTTTAGAATGCTAACAGTGAGAACACTAACGGTACCAATTGTGTTCCACTAGATGCGTATTTATACAATGAATGTCTCTTTAGTGATGCTCGAGGCCAAAATATTTGAAATTCCAAAACCTTATACAAACAGTGACGTCACAAGCAGTCTCAGAGTAGCATGACTTTGTGCAAAGTCAAAATATAAGTTTCAACAGGATGGAGAACATAATAAAATTGGGAAAAAGATCAATGTTAATAGCAATAAATTTGTTAGTAACAAGTAATGTTACCAATATAGAAATAAAAAAATCTTATATATTTCAATATCACTTTTAATCGTTTGATACTTAGATGATATAAATGAAAGATACACATCGGAATAATATTAGTCGCGATCTATCCGTCATACACATTTACATAAATTATATTTAAAAACATCGTACCCATGCCTGTATTCATGTTTAACATGCTCAGATATCAAATGGCTGCAATGACTTGAATGCGCTTTAATATCGAATGTAAGAGTTGAGTCTTTACAACTCTGATAACAAAAAAAATATGCAGACATGGCTAGGGGATAGTATTTTTATATGCAGTAAATGTCAAACTCAGTTATGCTATTAACCTTCGACACATAGCCATTTAAAGTTGTCATTTAAAAAAAAAACACATTTAAGACATATAAAAATATGATTGCAAATTCAAACACATGCATCATGTTCATTTTCCTTTAAAGGATCACAAGCACCTAGAATATATGGCAAACTTGGTGTAGCATTAGAGGGTCCACGTGAGATAAGTAACTTTGTACACACCACAAGTACACTTGCCGATCTTGATCCACCAATTAGTTCCTATATGATGACATTTGGGCAGTTCCTGGATCACGATATAACAAAAACAGCTTTAGCCAAAGGTAATAATCTTATGATTTACCTTAACAATTTGTGTAATGATCTTTAAACCCTAACTGTTAAATGGTTTGACTCCCAGGTATATCAAATCTTCTGTTTGCTTTTACCATGGTTTCTCTCGAATAACTGAACTGCATAAGGTCTTTACATGATTTACTGTTCGTCATTAACTGCCATATGCATCTCCTTATCTTTATTTTCAATGTAAGAAGTATCTTAACTGAAAACTATCATTTCTGACGAAGTATCAATAAAAAACAAACCAAACCGAAAACAAATCGATGTATAAGACACGGAATATTATTAATCAAAATGTAATTGAAGGCGATGATTAAACAATGAAAATATATATATTCTTAAAATTTCAATGAGCGGGGTGAAAGCCCTTTTATCTGAACTAATGGACATATAAAGAAAGAGGTAAGCCGCCATGTTTTCATGGTAAATATTGATGTTTGTTGGTCCTTTGAACATTTTAAATATCTGGTAAGAGTAATTACTAAAAATGTATCGGACAAAAACGGATGGAAAAAAATTTCCTTTGCACTTAAGACCAGTTATTTTTTTTTATTACATTGATTATGATTATGGAGTTTAAAATTGAAATAAAGTAGAAAATGCAAGGAATTTTATTTTTTCTACTCAAACTCAATTCGTTTTGATGTCAATGAAATAAAAAAAAAAACTTATCCAAGAGTTCAACTATCGAGAAATGTTTAACTCATGACCGATCAACGCTAATAATTTATTTTAACAGATGGGCTACGCACATTCGTGGATTAATGTGTTGTTCGGTCACTCGTTGAATATTTTTCTATATTCCTTTTCTTTGAAAAGCCTATTCATTTTATAATTTTATTATATCCTATTTATCTTAAAATTTTATTACAGCCTATTTCTTTTTTAATTTTATTGTTGCCTATTTTATTACAATTTTATCATAGTCTATTTTTTACAATTTTATCATAGCCTTTTTATTTAATAATATATATAGCCTATCACTCTTGTTATGTTATGCATTGAGGAAAACTCAAGTGATTAAGCTTCAACACGAAGTGAAGAAACATCTAATAACACTTTCTTGTTGTTTCAATTACAGGAGCATATCCTTTTAATTTAGATTGTTGTAATACTGATAGGTAAGTGTTCAGGCACTCACAATGGTAAGAGGTTATACACGGGTAATCTTAAATTATTTAGGAACATTTGAATTGAGAGACCTGGGTGGAAGTCAAGGGGCAAAATGGCAATGCCCCCGCCCCCAACTTATGAGCCGACAAAATAATTGAATATTATTATTGCCATCACCACACACACACACACACACGCACACACACACACACTTTTCATTTTGCTCCTACGCCACTGATAACTCAACGAGAATGATATGATTTCAGATTTGAACAAAACACACAACTTGATTTTCAAAAATATAATTCAAAATTCAAAACACGCCATTAGATTTTTCAGATACACAGCTAGATTTGAAAAAGTCGATCTTGAATATTACCCAGATAGATTTAAAAGTCACAACAGCCGGGCACACATAATTTAAAAAAAATATAGTTGTGGAGTTGTATAATTTTCCATTCAGATCTAGTTGCCAAGATTGACACAATTCAGAGGTTGAAATCATTTTGATGGTGAAAAGCATTTAAACATAAATTAAGAGTAAATGCAGGATTTCAATCAAACTCATTTTTGCATCAATGCTTCCAGTCCATGTATATAAAAAAAATGTCGGAATAGAGGGACAGATTTTTGAAAATGAATAACTTGGCCTGGTAAGAACTGAAAATAAATAACTTTGCACAAGACCTGATGAGAATGAATATTCTGTAACACAAAATGATACAAATGTGTACAAAAATGAAAATAAATTTCCGCAGAAACAAATGAAAAATGCGTATTCTCAAAATATCAAATAGTTAGTAAATTGATGATGATAATTTTACAAATAGATAAGACTCCAATAATTTTCTACAATATACACAATTTTGATATCCCTGAACTATTTTTTCATGTTGCTCATGGCAATTTGGTGATACATGTAAGTCGCGTTCTGTGGTGTCATAATTAAGGAAAAGAGGACGGGATTGTGGCTATAGCACGTGGACAATATCGGTGATCATCTTTGGCAGAGATATTCCGTAGTGGGCAACTAAATCATTTAGGCATCCGTAAAACTTTCGAAGATATGACTTCAATTTTACTATGAATAACTTTTAGTACAATGGCTTCCTTGTAAGCAGTACACTTCCTTCAAAGTAATCTTGATGAAGCCCTTGTGTCGTAAAGTCACTGTCCCAAGTTAGGAGAGGGTTGAGCGCTCACAAAATGTTTAACCCCGCCACATTCTGTATGTGCCTGTCCCAAACCAAGAGCCTGTAGTTCAGTGGTTGTCGTTGGTTCATGTCTGTCATATTTATTTTTCGTTAATTGTTTTGTTATAAATTAGACCGTTAGCTTTCTCAATTGAATTATTTCATATTCCTAATGTCGGGGCCTTTATAGCCGACTATACGTTATGGGCTTTTCTCATTGTTGAAGGTCGTACGGTTGTCTATAATTGCTTTCACCAACTTCATTTGAACTTTAATGGATAGTTGTCTCATCGGCTATCATACCACATCTCCTTATTTTTATGTTGATACTGGAAACGCAAATCCTGGAATATCGTATCAAATGGGAGAAACATACTCCATATATAGGTGCTGATGAAAATACGAGCCCTGGAATATCGTATCAACTGAGAGATATTAACTCCGTTTGCAGATGCGTTGAAATTTGTTGCATAGAAATGCAAAGTTCACGATGAGAAAATAGTCGGTAAGTTTAAGGATGAAATTAATAGTTGACGAAAATAATTAGATGTGGTATGATTGCCAAAGAGACAAATATCAATAAAAAGAACAAGGATGTAAAAACTACAGGTCACCGTTCAGCCTTCAGTAATGATCAAACCCAAAGCATACTGTAAGCTATTAGAGGGTCGGGCAAAGAAAAATGTGAATCAATTCGAAGACAAAATTTACTGATTTGAGCTTATCTCATTAAACATATAGCAATAATGGCACACAACAACCAACGACAACCACAAGAATATAGGCTTCTTGGGACAGGCACATAAATAATTTGTTGTGGTTAAACAAATTCCTAGGCGCTTAACCCTCCAATAACCGGGGATTTTAGAGTCACATTACAACATTGACCTCATAAACAGTTTGAGAAAAGCATGACCTTGTGCAAAGTCAAAAATATAATTTTCGACAGGATGGAGGACCATTATTTAGGATTGGATATAATATTAATGTTAGTAGCGATACAGACAACATTTAAAGATCGTACTTTAATGGTAAATTACTCCCCAGTATTCAAAGTACTAGAACTGTATCTGTGATGTCTTTTATTCCAAATCCAATGGAGCAGATGCTATCAACGGTTTCCAGACTTTGAATTTGTCAACGGTAGGGTATATGGTTGCAGATAAGAGGTAAGCTATTACACCAAGGGTTCCAAGTGGTGAAGTTGAAGTCATTCTTTTAAAAATCTTACGAACGCCATCTTGTGTTGGTTGGCTGTTATGGAATATCGGATACACATATGACGATGAGTATGTTCCAGTTTTCGTTACCACAATCTGACCTCTTTTTCTCAAATGTGACATCACTGAATGAAACTTATCACCAAATTTGTACTTACATGAGCAACACAACGGGTGCCACATGCAGAGCGAGGAATCTGCTTACCATTCCAACGCACCTCAGACACAACCCCCCGAGGAGATAAATCCAGGAAAGCGCTTCGGACGCATAAAATTTATTAAGTGTTGTTTTCATTTTTTGTCCATTCATTAAACAATATACTTGTATTCATGTTGGCCTTTTTTTCAAAAAGCCAAAGTCCGACCAATTCTTTATATATGTTAATATAAAAAAGAGGTGGAAGTAACCATAGGGACATTCAAAACTTTAAAAACTCATAAGTCGACGATTACTGACAAAGTCATGGTAAAAAAAGAAAACGACGAAAAGACAAACAAGTCCCCAAAACACCACATTGAAAATTAAAGACTGTGCAACACGAACCCCACTAAAAACTGGAGTGAACTCCGGTGCCGAGGAATGAGTTTTGAGTAATACTGATGTAAAGTGTAAAAATCAAAAGGGAGAGCGACTTAGATGGGATGTACTGTAACAGATCCTTGGATTTTTTGTGCATCACCCTCTAATTCACACTACAGCTATTTTAGGTAGCTTCACAGTAACTCTGAAACATTGTTTTGATTGCTAATGATAATTGATGTAAACATTATTACGAGGTTTCGTGAAAACCCATACGAGAAAACAATATCTCAAAGTACTAGGAAACTAATCAATACATATTTGAGTCAGCCTTATTACCTATTTTTACTTTATATTTTAGTTCTATAAATGTAATTACATTCACATTTTTGTTATTTTGTAAAATGAATGCAATCAACTTTATTTTTCCGTTGTTTAACTTTTTTCTCATGGAATAATAGCTTACAAATAATTGCGATCACGGCATCGGACATTTAGCTGAGGGCAAATATTTACAGGATATCTTTTAAATCATCAATAAATACCAATTAAAGAAAATGATTCGTAAATTATATGATACATGGCGGGAATGACTGTATGACGATGTTGCATCAAGAATATAGTCGCGACGTTAGTTAGCACCAACATGAAAAATGTGACCTCAAGTATTAATTTTTAAACAGTAGGGTTATTGCTTTTAGTTGAAATATAAGCACATGGAACCCCATTTTTGTTTTTTGCAATCGAGTGTGTACTGCTTCAAGAATGTTATCTCAAACTTAGAAGAAAAAATTGAAAAAGGGACTAACTCAAATGCCTATGTACTGAGGATCGCCTTACAAAAAAAGTCGATCGAAACTATCTGTTTTCGTTTGAAAATTCAAAAAGTATTGAAATGAGACATTTTGTGATTTTACCTATAACATGACAAACTTTAATTTAAATATCCCACAAAGTAAGTCATGAAGGTATATTGTTCTTTTTTATTTCGAATGTTAATATCAAAATTGACCTTCATTCAAATCTTCAAGCAAAAAATAACAAGAGACAGATATCTTCAGTTGACAATGTTTTCTCGGGGTAACAATCTGCTCTATCACCCTCTCAGCTATGTGTTATTTATATAGTGACTGGCTTTATTTTGATTTTGTTTTCTTTACGAATTAAGGGATAATATGCACATAGAATAAATGGGTTTTTTTTCTATCATTCTTAGCAGAAAAATTCGGTGAATCGTACAAACGCTAAGAGACTAACCCCTCTTTAATAAAAAGTTGACTTAAATGGTTTTGACTATTCCAGATCTTTACAGTCATCATGTAATTTATATAACTCAAAATATATATCCTGCACTTTGCTGTTAAGACTTTGTCTCTGAGGATTCCTGGTGAAGCTTAATCCACAATATCCATCCAACGCAGTAAGAAATTAAAGATGACACGTATGCTTATATTTTAAACTACACATACACATCTGTTTGTCGTTTTTAGGGTTGTCAAGGTCAGATATTGTCCTCAAGTTTTCGAAACTGTAATCGTTTCAGTACTGTACATCTACTTGTTTATCATTAAAAAAAACTAAATAGTTATTTTTTATAAAGTAATCCTTACAACCATTATGCATTGTAGACAAAACAATTCAGATTGCTTTCCATTCACTATACCTGGTGACGACCCTTACCATCGGGTAATATTAGGAACTAATAGGAGATGCATAAATTTTGTCAGATCTGTAGCGGCATGTGACCTTGGTTGCAATTTAGGTAAGTTTGTATAATAATATTAATCCTGCAAATCAAACCTTGAGAAGAGAAAAATATCTATATTTAACAGTATTGTGACAATGCATTATTTGTGAAAAATCAATTGATGTCAAATAATTATTAGAATTGATCCATTAATACACATATCAATGAATTGTAGTGTAACATTTTTCTCTGTTCATCTTTACACACTCGTTTAAGTATTTAACACTTTCATAGGAGTAAGAAAGCTTCTGCATTATCGTCAAGCCGGAGACAAAAAATGGCATGGAGCCCAATCATCTAAAAAAATGTTAATTCATTCAATAATGACGTTTCTGATGTAAACAATATATCTAGATTTTTCTTCAAATGCCCGTTAGCTAATAAGCAACACTTAGATGCTTACCTCTAAGCAAATACATTTTTCTTTCAAGACGTATAAATACCTAAAATATAATATAAACAGGCTAACAGATCAACAATCATAAACTACTCTTAAACACTGGCAATAATAACACATCCAACTCTTTACTGAGCAACAACTTTCAAAAATGACAATTATATTCGTCAAAACTGTCAACAACAATTATATACACTACTCAGAAACAACTGTCAACAATACAAAAAACACAACATTTAGAACATTCGTCAATAATAACAAAATTTAACCAACCTTGCCATGCAGTGCCATTGTACCATCTGCAGCTATGTCACATATTCACCAATTGGCAATTTATCAAAAGAACTTTTTTCATGCTGGGTTGTGACTGAGATGGAGATATACTTAAACATATGAATATGGACTCTGATAAAAAAAAACCATATCATACTGCATTGCAGTCAATTCTTGGTAGTTGAAGACTAAATAAATTAAAGGAGATTGCAGAAAAAGTACCTACTTTAGTACTAACGCAATATTTTAGGTTATCGTGAGCAGATTAATGAACTGACACATTATATTGATGGTTCTAGTGTTTATGGTTCTACTGTTGAAGAACTGAATGAATTGAAAGACCCTACTGATAATGGTAAAATATGAATAAATGTTATACATTTAAAAATATTTTGAAAGCATGTTTAAGCCGTGTTTCCAACAAGCAGGATAAACAGAGGTTTGCAAAAATAATAATTATCCCTGCCAACAGTGAACGAAAATGACTTAGCATAGACTGTAATACACATAGTAGACATGTAATTTTAATACAGAAGTAAATATGTTGTATATCTTTCCTTCTCCGTCTCTCAATAACTGTGTTTTAAACTTCATTATGCACCTTTAATTTTATCTTGTCTACTTGCGATTTATCTACTTGGGTTCCATTACCATCCATATTTTCTTCTTAACCAGGGATTAAAGTATATCCGAAATTGCAGGTCCCCTTGAGGAAATATATTAATTTCTCTAAACCTTTCAACCATGCTGAAATTAATTTTAAATATTAGAAAATTCCTAGTTTCATAACACATAGTAGAGCGGGTATTGTATATAAAAAAGTAAAATAACAAAAATACCGAACTCCAAGGAAAATTCAAAACGGAAAGTCTTTTATCAAATGGCAAAATCAAAAGCTCAAACATATCAACCGAATGGAAAACAACTGTCATATTCCTTACTTGGTACAGTCATTTGCTTATGTAAAAAATGGTAGCTTAAACCTGTTTTATAGCTAGCTAAACCTCTCACTTGTGTGACAAACATATAGATTTCCATTTTATTGACAACAATGTGTGAGCAAAACAAACATTAATTGTAATACTCCTTCTTAACAAGCCAATGAACAATGATACTCACTGACATTTGATGATATATATGTAGGAATTCGGCATATTATTTCGGATGGAATCCTTTATAAACGTATAAAGTAAACAATTCGATGTTATTAGATGAATCTTAAAGTAAAGCATAAAAGGATTTTCTACGTTTTTAATGCTTTTTCGTCGGTGATCTTCTATCATAATCTTTCAGTAAAGATATAATTTACAGATAATATCAAAATCGTTTTAGGCCCACTTTATAAATAAAGGAATAGGGTCATTATCCTTTTTAAACAAAGTTGAACTAATGTAAAATCAGGAAAGGGTTTTATGGACAATATCCATTCACAGCTTTTAATTAACCAGATGCGGACCCCAAGGGGTATAGAAATATGGACACCGCTGCCATCTTCCGACCGGCAGTACAACCCTTGCCAAAGTGGAGCTTCAGTTTGGCTGTGCAGAATGTGTAAATATCCTCATTTCCCGGTGGCCTACCAAATTTCCAGCTCTTCATCCCAGTCGACCACTATTGCAGGATTTACCTATTGTATATATGTTATAAATTTTCATTTTCAGAGTGCTGATTAGAATTCACATTAGCATGTGATAACCTTCTCTTAAAATACAGTCAGTGTATGAGGGTGAAGGGATATATCTTTGCTCACTTATATGAAACATTTTTTTATGATTACAGGAATGATGATGGTTTCGATGGATGATATGCTGCCTCTTGATGACGACAATACTCTGAGTTGTACCTCGGATGTAGGTCAGACATGTTTCAGAGCAGGTACGTTTTAGTTTTTTATCGAACATGCATTTGTATACATGTCCAAATAGACACCAGAACTGATCTTAAAAGTCGCAACACTGGTATACACTCTGTGAAAAATTGCGGCTTGTTACCAGGAATCAATAGTTTGAATAATTTCAAAATTGTATGTTTTGTTTATTTATGTGTTTTGAAGAGCAGCTATAGAAAATATTAAACATGTACGCAATTGTGGGGTCTGAAGTCGTAAGATTTGGTTCAAACCAACTATTTTTTTTCGAAGAGAATGCATCAAGACAAGCGAATATCAGTCAATTGACGTTGTGTTGAATAGAAATAGTTAAACATAAGCTTGTTTCTAAAAGTATAAATGAAAAAATGGATTTTTTTTGTGAACATACCTTGAAGTTCTATACATTTGTTATTCTCTTTCTATTCGACTTCAACATCATTTCAAAACAATAACATCTCTAATATCGAACATTATTATTGAATATCAATTATTATTCTTCAAATAATCCAGTTTTCACAACGTACACTTTTCTTTTCTTCATAGTTCAAAATATCTAATAGTCTGAGATTTTTGTTGTTGCATGAGTTTGTGAAGTGTATTTTGCTTCTTTGTTCCATACATTCGAGACTCTTTAACTGTAATCAGTGTGTGTAGAAAGCTGGAACTACCAATCATCCCACGTATAATTGTTTATGTATGCCATAATTTGACAGTGTATGTGGATACTGTGATCTGAATACTTTAAAGCTTAGTATATTTGTCTTTAAAATTTGTTTGAAAAAACCAAACAGTTTATTAATCTTTTGTGTGTTGGGTAAATGTGCAAGATATGATAGTCCCGAGATATACTTGTATGAAAAGAACAGAGTTTGTATTGCTGTTTTTTCCCCTATCTTACTAGTTACTATCAGGTCTTTATCCTTTACATGAATGACTTGTTTCTTTCAACTCAATAAAACGGCACCTTGTGTCACCTTCATCGGTCCATTTTAGATATTCGCCGAATACCACTATAAATGTATTTAAAGGTTCATGGGCATATGCAGGAGTTGCCACAAAACCAATTGAATAACTGGTGAGGCGCTACTACAAATACTCTTTGTGTTGCCTACAATGCGGTATAATTATAAAAATAGTAAGACAATCATAAAGCACCACAAAGGTAAATTAAATGCTTAAAAATTGGCAAAATCATTGAAGATATGTCTAAATTTCATTTAATTGATAAATTTAATAACACTTACCGTTAGCTAAATTATATATTGCTTTTAATGTTCAATAATTTTCTAACTATACTGTGGAAATTTACCAAAGATAACTTATTTTAAACAAATCTAAGTAATAAACAGCTACAACTGTCCCTTTTCTAGATTTGGATATTTCAGTTTCACATGGGAAACTCTATATAAAATAATTACGACAAAACAGACGATTTTGCGTTCCCTATGTTTTATTATCCTATATTTGGACGGTGATGTTCCTTTTGCCCTTCTTACTGTGTGTATATTTTCAAACTCATTCGTTATGCCCGTGTCTGCACTGACGTTTTAGAATTCAATAAACGTAATCCTTGTATACCAGATTAATGATTAAATCCTGAATTCCGTTACTACAAATGACTAAAAACTTTAATAGATACAAAGATTGTATTTATAGTTTGAATGAACCTGTAGAAACTTTACAACAAATGGGATATCACATTTTGATCTTTACAAAGATTTTCTTAAAGAACCCATCAATTTAGATACGATCCACGTAAACTCATTGATCCTTTAAATAAACTTATTCTTAAAGGATATCAATTTAGCTGTAATAAGGTCTTTGTCTGCATCGGTACTGATTTGTTTTCAAGTCATATGGAACCAGTTTTTAAAATTATAATGTTAAGGAAATTATTGAACAAAAGTATGTATATATGCTAAACTAAGCCCTTTTTGCACGAATTTTTACATTTATTACGAATCCATTTCATATACACGACAAAAATATTTCATTAAGTGAATACTTTCCCTGCTAATTAAATTGCTTTGATTGCCGACGTTTACCGAACGTCACCTTAATAAAAAAATCAACACATAATAATAATCATGCACCACGTGAGAAATAAGCGAGAGGATCGACATGCAAAGAGTGATGTTTCTTTATTTTCCTTGCGTTTCTATTTGTTAATTAAACTTTGTCATAACAGTTGTTAAATTATTTGGTGTATTAATTTTTTTTCTTTAAGAATAAATTTACACTATCTAACTTTCACGTTTGTTTACCTTTTCTTTCATCATGGGTTTCCCTCGCATTTGCGCTTTGCGGTTCCCAAAATACTAACGAGAAGTCTTGTGGTTAAGGTCACTGCATACGGAAAAGCAATCGAGGAATTAGAGTACGGGAAGACAATAATTCAATAGCAGTACATTTCTGAAAATTTTGATTAGATAAAGGATTTTTTTAAAAGAAAGTCCATGTACACGTGTTTTGTTTTAGTATAAATTGGCCATTCAAGTACTAGTATATTATATATGTTCAACTTCTGTTTCAAATTTGAAGTATCCTATGATTTTCATAAATTAAAACATACTAGTAACAAAATATGTTCTGTTATCATGAATAGTCTTCATCCTGTCGATACTATGTATTTATATTTTGGCATTGCACAAGGTCATGCTTTTCTCTGACTGTTTAAGTCGTCATTATACCAAGTTTTGTTGGATGTGTATTGATTGATACTTAAGTCTAGGAAAACATGATTTATCTATAGCTTTCAGTAGCTACGAATGATAGGTGCTTTGTGTCTTATATATTTGTGTTAGTTGTTTTGTGCTTCTTGTCAATTTGATTAAGCAAGCCAATTCAATTCTAATGTTTACAGTTTGTGTTACACCACTACCCAAGGTTAGGGAAGGGTTGAGCCCTCACAAACATGTTTAACTCCGGTCAATTCTTTATTCTTTGTTCTTTGTTTGTTCTAAGGCAGTAGCCTGTAATTCAACGGCTGTCGATGGTTGATGTCAAATTGGTTTTTCGTGTATTATTTTAGTATGATTTTCCGCAATATGAATATGAAAAGTAATCCATAGAAATGGAAATTTATATTCAGTAAAAAGATTCTCTGTTTGTAATTAAGGCTTTGTATAAACATAAAGGCTATCTTGTGGAGATTTGTCTCATTGGCAATCATACCATATTTTTTTTTATATATACACAAAATCCTTATAAAACTACAAGCATACATTCGCATTCTGAATTCTGCATGCAATTATAAAATATTTATGTAATGAAATAGTAAATTTCATTTTATTTTCTAATTTAAAATTATCATTTTCTAATTTGTAATATATCAGGTTAAATCAATGAGACATTGCACATGATCGAGTACTAGAAAATGATTATCTTGATGCAAAAAAAAATACTCTTTCCGCAAGCTTTTTATATTATTTTTTTCTCTACGTCACAGGTGATGTGCGGGTTAATACACAACCCGCGCTTAGTTCCCTACACAATATATGGGTAAGAGAGCACAACCGAATTGCCCAGCATTTCAAAAATAGCCCCGAATGTTACAACTGGACTGGACAAAAAATTTTTGAGGAAACTAGACGCTACGTTGCTGCAGAAATTCAACACATCACCTATAATGAATTTTTACCAAAACTGTTAAGTGAAGAAATCCGTGAACAGTTTGGTCTGGTACCATTATCGGATGGATATTTCACAGACTATGACCCAAGCGTGCGACCAATGATCCGAAGTTCATTTTCAACGGCAGCATATAGAATGGGACATAGTTTAATAAGAGATAAGTTTTTCTTTCCTAACAGTGCTTTTGATCTTCACGTCCATTTGAACAAACCTGATTTATTATACGAACCTAATGGTATAGAGCGTTGTACACGAGGTATGTATGAAAATAAAGCACAAAAAATAGACGAGAAGATAACGAGAGAAGTCACTTGGAAACTGTTTGAAACAATAGCAGGAAATGGTGGGGACTTGGCGGCTTTCAATATTCAGCGTGGTCGTGATCATGGACTTCCGTCATACACAACGTGGCTACACTGGTGCACAGGGAAATCAGTCGAAACTAATAATTTTAACCCAGGTGTAGAAGGGGGTCTTTTTTATCACAGTGCAGGAGCCTCGTCAAAGCTGAATAGAGCTTATGCGTAAGTAATTAAACCATTAGTAACAAAATTTTTCAAAACTGAAAAATAATAACCTGATAAAGGTATCATTGTAAACTGTTTTATTCAAATAGAATAAAAAAATAAAAAATCCGTCTAACATAAGACTGAAGTGGTAGCTAAGACAAAGCATTACAATGTAGTTAAAAACTACCTATAGAGGAACAAAAGATACTAAAACATTATACCTTAATTTACTGTCAACCAGGATTCTTTTTGTGCAGTTATAATCAAAAATACAACTGTAATACAAATTTCTGTTTATTGATCCAATTATGCAAGATTCCAGTTGGTTATAATCCATTTTGAATTTGCATGTGTCATTGATCAAACAAATGACGATGACTTATAATTGCGAAGGAAATTGAATGGTGTACATAATCATTTATAAATCCCGGCAAGGGAAGAACAAAAATTTGCGGAAAAAAGATCTAACATTGTTGGGCTGTTATTCAGACGAATTATACAGAATGTGTTTTCAGCCTTGTATCACCATCACTGGTGATCCGATGGATAAAATCTGTCGTAGAGTTGTCACTGGTTCAGACGAACTTAAATATATATATGTATACAATTGATACTACAAATTACCCTTATAGTATAATAGCTAGTATTTTTATTCGCCCGTCAAAGAAGGACATATTATGGCTTATAATTGTCTGTCCGTCCGTCTGTCAACACTTCGTTCGATAAATCAAATATTTTTTACCCATTTTCATGTAATTTAACACAACATTATGATTGATGGAGAAAAGCTCCTTTGTAATTTGAAAAAAATGGCGTTGATGCGTCAGAAAACTGGGACTTTAACCGTTTAAATAAAGGCATTTTTTCACATATCGCACACTCACTTCAGTGTTCCTGGATTGAAATTTGACATAATTGGTGAACATAACAAAAAAGTGATAAAAACAAAAATATTCCGAAATTTCATTCTAGAGTTGTACGACTTTGGCTCAGATAAATAAAAGGTTTTCTTTAAAATATCATGCACTAGTATGCTTTGAACTTAACACTGTTATTGTTGACTCGCTTTTGATTTTGAAAATTTTGTGGTTTGTCATTCCAGAGTTATGGAACTTTTAATAGTCGTATTTGACAAAATATTTATACACCTAAGAGCATCTACCTTCAGACATGTTTTTCTACAGCGTCATTTCATTTGCTTCTCCTTAAATGTCTTTTATTTACCACATTGTGTTATTACAAGAGCTTAAATATACACTATAAGGGCGTATCACGTGTTTTTGGTACAAGCAGCTGCTTATCTATATTGTACACCTTTTGTCGTTGATGCCATATCTTCTGTTTGTACCTGATAATCAACAACCAACATATATATTACCTTTTATAGGTTCACTTGTGATATAGAATTGTTTCCTGGAGGTATATCGGAAGATCCTTTACCAGGCAGCAGACTAGGACCAACATTTACATGTATACTAGCTTTGCAGTTTAGAGCTCTTAAATATGGTGATAGATTCTTCTATGAGGGGAATACTCCACTGAATCCGCATCCATTTACACCACAAGAACTTGTTGGTTTCCGTCCAATAACAATGGCAAAGATAATATGTGAAAATACTAATATTGAACAAATACCACTAGATGTATTTTTAGAACCTTCAGAAAGGTAAGTTAGTCTTCAGAGTTCGTATTTAAAAAAAAGCATAGAACCCCGCCTGAACTAAAAACGAAAACAAACTAACAAACTAACAAATAAAAGAAAAAGAAAGGAAGGAAAAACCACACATGGCTGAATGAAATGATCTTGATTACGTTTCTAGCATCTCCTCATATTTGTAGTTATTAAGTGACAATGTTCACTGTTTTCGGTTTTTTGCAAACACTGTGCATTAATTAGATTCATTCGTTATACTAGAATATAAAATGTGGGATCACATGCGCATATCTCAAAGTAAATTCCTTTCTATCGAAACCAATGACATTTAATTTCTATTTTCAGCAATCCGCTTATGAATTGCACGGACCTTCCCGATATCTGTTTCCCTAAGAATGGTGGATGGGGCGATTGGAAAGATAGTTGTTGCAGTAATTGTTGTACCAGACAACAATACCGATCATGTGATAATCCTCCACCAAATGAATGCGGAAAACAATGTGACGGATGCAATTTCAGATACAAAAACAAGTGTCACTAGGCGAAGGACACGGAGGCTGCTGTCACTACGGTGGCCATTGACATGGGGGATGCTATCACTTTCATGACCATCAAGATGGCCATTAGGTTCTTCATCTTGTAAACAGTAGAATAGGATAACCCTTCTAAAAAAATTCTAGTAAAGTAAATCATTTGGTAATGTTACCCATTTTCATAATTGTAGAAGTGTAACGTTAAAACGTTATTTTTTTAACGTGAAACTTTAAAAGTATGTAAGTATGCTAAAACATGATTGTAACTCCATCAGGAAAAGCTGACCATAGACAATTTTGATTGGTCTATTAAAACCCTTCTTGTTTGTAAGCTCTCTGACGTTTTATATATTTTTTACTTTTTAAACTTTTAGTCAAGAACGTAATTGATAAAAATTATTCTAGGAACACGTATTGTTTGCAAGGAAATATCATTTGGTCTTTGTTAGATTTATCAGGTAACATATTGTGACCTGACCGATATATTTGAAACACACTGAAAGATTTGACAAGGAAAAACCTTAAAAATGCTTAACAATGAATATTAGCCTGTTGTGTGAGTAGGTCTCAATTGCTGGATTGACAGCGAAATGTAAGAGTGATACTACTTAACTTTAGTAATTATATCAGTCTAAACGTTTCAAAATTGTTACTAGTATAAATCAAATTGAATGTTTTAATCCAAACTTTATTTCATAGTGCTTGATATCATGATTTATGTAACATACCTATTCGTTTTGTATTGTGTCAATTGTTTTTTTTTTCGTATGCTAAGTAATTTTTTCAGTTCTTCTTTAGCTTATTTCTTATCAAAGTACACTTAATTTCATTTTTATGAACATTACTTAACAAACAATTTAAAAAATAAAATCAACTGTATAAATGATGAAAACTGTAATTTTATTTTTCTTGTTACTTCCGAGATAACATGATTGTGATAATCATTCAGTGCCTTTCACTGTTGTACAGTGTACATTGTAAGAAACAGGAACTGCTGACCCTTCCGAAGCAACCGAGTTTAAGACATTTCCTGGTTTGATTCGTGTTCCTCAAAGTCTGGTTTTCTATGTAGTGTTCTTTGGACTGTTGTTTGTCTTTATCCTATAAGTTCAAGTTTTTTTTTTTCAAGTTCTAAATCTTTATTGTAAACTCTCATACACATAAAGTGTTACAAGAGAGTTGATTAATTAATTGTTGGTTGCTTAAAGTCTAGTGGCAAATATTTCATGCATGTTCACGACGAGAACAAATTACCAATAAATGCATTAGGAGTGTACTGTGATAGAGGCCGTCCTGGGTGAAGATCGGGGAAATTTTGACTAAATTTTTATTCTAAATTCCTCTAAAATATAGCTATATTATTTAAATCCATAATATTACATAATTAAAATACATTTTATATACAGATGGATAGCGTGTAATATGTTGGAACTTACTTTATTATAAGACACCTTTATGTATCAGAGTTGTACATATACTGATACAAGTTTGTTGTGTTTTTATAGTATTTATAGATAAGTCTGTTTGGTTGGATATATATAGAAATAAGGAGATGTGGTGTGATTGCCAATAAACAACTATCCACCAGAGTTCAAATAAAGTGGATGTTAGCAATCAAAGGCAACCGCATGCTATTCAATAATGAGCAAAATCCATACCGTATAATCGGATATAAAAGCCCCCCGGACATGAAAAATGTGAAACAATTCAAATGAGAACACTAACGACTAATATATAACAAAATAATTTACGCCAAAAAAATATGACAGACATGTACCAATGACTACCACTGAACTACAAGCGCCGGTCTTGGGAAAGGCACAGAAAGAATGTGGCGGGCTAAAACATGTGTGTGAGCGCTCAATCCTCCCCTAACCTAGGTCAATTGTGTAACAGCGTAACAAATGAACAAACTGTAAACATCAGTTGTAATTGGCTTAACTGAAAAGATCGGTAGTGACCGTACGAGGCACAAAACAACTAACCTAAAACAATAGACACAAAGCAACGCAATCAAAGCACTCTAATCTAGTTACTGAAAGCTAGTTCAAAGCCAGTTACAACTAATTAATAAATCATGTTATCCCAGACAGATATAAAAGAATACGGGTAGAATTTCATGCACGGATTGTTTAGAAGTCGTGAAAAGCATTCGAGTCATTGCAGTCAAGTGTGCAAGAGGTTTTTGGAATTTCTTGCGTTTTGGTATAATCAATCTAGCATGGAAAACTCTTAAAGTGAAGAGACTATTTCAAATACCAGTAGAGAATCATGAGTAGTTCATGAAGAGCATTAACAAGCCAAAGAGGTTGCTCAATCAACTTTAGGTCTTTTTAAGGACTATTTAGAAAACAGAATATGAATTTTAAAGCGCGAGTTGAAAGAAGAAGCGGCAAGCAAATTTAATAAAATTTTGAAAAAGCTAAAAGCAGATCATTCTTATAAATTTAAGTTTGAAGGGTACGAAGTTCAGTTTGAATTTAATTCTGACATTCACCACGATATATCTAGGATCAAACACAGATGTGGAATAGGCAAGAAATATTTTTTCAGACGATCTCACATCAGATACCGACGATGAAAAAAATCAAGTCAGCAGAAAGCCGTGCTCTCAAAGCGAAAAAGAAGCTAATGCCCCTGGTTGTAATGTTCTTTGCTACGAAAAAATCAACGATGAGCCTTTATCCACAGACATCCGTTTTGGTTATATTGCTAGATGTCCTTTAAGGTTGTTTGCTGTTGTCTCTTTGGCATGTATCTTTCATCTTCATCTGCTTATTTTACATGCAAAGAAGAACATAACAAGCTGCTTTTTCAAATATCAAGCAATATGTAAGCATCAAGAAGTCAGACCATGCCACCCATAAATTGAGTCATTCGGCTCATTAGAAGATCAAATATTTTGATAAAAACGGCTTATGTAAAACTTTTTTCGAACTTTTAAAATTTTGAATTATTAATGTCGGCAATACGTTAGAGATTACAATTACAGCTTGCATTTGCATTATCAGTTCATATATTCTTCGTTGTTGGTGCGCTATCGTATCAAAACTATAATAGTACGAGTTTTTTCCTTTATTTCAAAATTTAAAGTAAGATTATGCATTATAAAATATTACCTAAATTTGTTTTGATAAAGTGAGTAGTACAAGATGGATTTTTTTTAGCTATTTTAGAAACGTGTTATAAAATCCAACAGATTATAAAACAGAAAAGTTAAAACATCCTGCTTATGTTCTTTGTCTTGGCAGTAGATTTATAATGCTAAGATCCAGTATGTAACTTTGTCAAAACAATATTTTTTTAAATTCATTTTTAATATTTCATGTACACATGGTAAAGAAAAGTGTTAAAATATAGCAATTAATTTATGTTAAAAATGAGTATGCGTGAATTAATTCATCGCTTCCTTAACTTGTGAAAAACAGATAAATATTATATATTATAAGCATGTTTTTTTTCGATCTGTAAAGAATGATAATCAAAGTAAAGGAAAACGTAATAGCATTAAAAAATTAAAAGAAGTTTAATATTTACGAATCCGGCATAAGAACAGGCAGAGAGCCAATATCCAATCCTTTGCAGACAAATGCATAGGTAGGTATAGTGTCTGGCGAAGATCGTGTTTTTCGAATGAATCGATCCACTTTTTTCGAGTGTAGATCAGGTTTTTTCCGAGTGATATTACATGCGATCAGATCAGTTTACTGCTATTTCGCGTATATCATAGTTTTATTAATGACTATTCATCTTATTCTGAATACTAAACATGTTTTGAGCACAAACGACTCACAATTTCCTTGAAGTTCACTAATAATTCAGTGTTTTACATTGTCTGTGTTTTTTCGAGATTAACATTTAAAACGTCCTGGTTTTTCAAAGAAAATGTGAATAAGAAAGAAAGCATTTTTGGGCTTAAAAACGATTTTTTTTCTAGTTTGTAACTGTAATTTAGCGAAAGGCAATATTATATAAAATATTCCTAATTCATAAGTATCAAAACATATTACTATGTTGGTCAAATTTAACTTTTCAATTTAATTTTCTTTGTAAAACAGTCTTTTGAACCGAGAACAGAGGACTCATAATCTTTTCAACATCATTTCATGCTACAATATTTTTTACAGTAAATAATAGTTTATGATTTATATATATTACAGTGGCGAGACCTGAAGTTTTAAAAATAGGGTTAAGAAAAGAAAAGGACAGAAGTTAAATGCAATATACCACAAATATTCTACTAAGAGAGGATTTGGACCAGCCAAGCCCCCCCCCCCCCCCTGGCCCCAACAAAATCACTTAATCCGCCCCTGTACTATTTTCGATTGACAATAAATTTTGAATTGAATGGAATATATAATAAACAATGATATAAACAATCTATAAGCTTTAATATGATCCTTTTGAAATAATAATAAGAAAGATTTAAAATTGAGAATGGAAATGGGGAATGTGTCAAAGAGACAACAACCCGACCATAGAGCAGACAACAGCCGAAGGCCACCAATGCGTCTTCAATGCAGCGAGAAACTCCAATACCCGGAGGCGTCCTTCAGCTGGCCCCTAAACAAATATGTATACTAGTTCAGTGATAATGGACGTCATACTAAACACCAAATTATACACAAGAAACTAAAATTAAAAATGATACAAGACTAACAAAGACCAGAGCCTCCTGCGGCGGGGTTAAACATGTTTTTTGAGATCTCAACCCTCCCCCTATACCTCTAGCCAATGTAGAAAAAAAAACGCACAACAGTACGCACAGTAAAACTCAGTTTAAAAGAAGTCCGATTCCGATGTAAGAATAGGAAACAAAAGAAAATAAACAAAATGACAATAATACATAAATAACAACAGACTACTAGCAGTTATTGACATGCCAGCTCCATACCTCAATTAAACTGATTGAAAGATTATGTCTTCATCATATGAATATCAGGCACAATCCCTCATGTTAGGGCTTTAGTATTATACCATCATAAAATATATGAGAAGAACATAACCCGTGTCATGCCAACAACTGGTTTTAGAATAAATGTTTGTATACAATAGCGTACACCTCGTGTATTTAATTCATGTATTTCACAGAGTCCCGTAGATGTACATTGGTAATTGTAATGTCTAGATAGAGATCCGCATTTTTCATATTTTAAAGCACTGCATACTGATGGAAATGAAACTATCATGGTGTTTTATTGCTGTGTGACCAATTATAACAAACGCTTGATCATACTCCTCATCACAGTAGTAGCATTTAAAAATTGTTTTGTTTTCCATTCATTGAACGATGAAACAAATTACCATCAAGACAAATAGTAAATAAAACATTTAGAATGTATTTTCTGTTAAAAAAAATACACATACCCGCTTAACATACGCAATGTACGTACGTCTCAATCCATTATACTGCTTGATATTTTAGTCTTGGAAAACATGATTTATTTATTAGTTGAAACTGGCTTTGAACTAGCTTTCAGTAACCGAGAGTACTCTTATATCGATAGTTTGTATCTATTGTTTTATGTTAGTTAGTTTGTTTGTGCTTCGTACCGATCTATTGAGTAAAGACATTTGTAACTGATTTCTGCAGTTTGTTCTTATTTTGTGCTGTAACACTACTGTTTAAAGTTAATTGGGGTTGAGGGCTTACAAACATGTTTAACCCCAGCCACAATCTTTAAATGCCTGTCCCAAGTCAAGAGCCTGTAATTCAGTGGTTGTCGTTGGTTTACGGTGACCTATATCTACTTTTATCTTCGTCATTGTCTCATTGGCATTCATACCACATCTCCTTTTCTTTATATATATATATATATATATATATATATTATATATATGACTGTGCTCACATTAATATTGTTTACAATACGAATATTAAATGTATGATATCA